ACCTTTTTGCTAGTGCGAAAATCGAAATCAAAATCGATCTGGTCAGCCCAACTCACCCCCCCCAAAGGTTTTCAACGGATTTCGAGACATGTCCACCCCTGTCCACCCCATCGTAACGCCATTGATCTCCAGAACAAAATACCATGCTGAAGAAAAGGTGAGTGTAAGAACTTTAAAATTATCACATTTATGGTTAAAATGTATACAAAATGTATTTGGAAGCTCTGTTAATTAGACAAAGATTTTCATGATACCAAAAATGTTGACATAACAATTTATTGGAAGGCTACAAATCTTAACACTAACAGTCTGAGCAAGAGAATGCTGAGAAAGTTTAAAAATAAATAAAATTCTTATATCAATATTCGGTGAAAGTTTGCTCACATCAAGTCGCCTCTCAATTTTTTCCATTTTTGTTTACTATTCTTTGAAGCTAATCAGGATTCTTAGGCTCATAGTAAATGTATGTATCGTCAGCAAAAAGTAAAGTTTAATATGAGGATGACTGAGGCATGCCATTATTGCAACCAGTTCTTTCTCCCATAGAAATATTCAGGTCTTTTTTATTCCTGTTCTGAAATCCAATTAAAGTCAATTTTTCAGTGCGGCACATGCCTCTAAAGAGGTAAATCGTTTTTTATATAATCAATTTGCTGTTCGAAACGAGCAGTTGACATTCTAAAAAATCTAGAAATTTCGGCATCCAAAGCTAAAATATCAAGAACCAACTGAATTCAAAAAATTGCACCTAACTGCATCGATATACTCAAAAAAGTTTCAAAGTCTCTTAATTTTTTGTAAAAATATTGAAGACTAGAAATTGAAATGAAAAATTTTCCCACCATTTAAATGTAATGATACTAACATCACTCAGTTAATCATGCCTTGGTGTGTCTTGCAGAAGCTGCGAGGTATTCAATTTATGATAAAGAATTAGTTGCGGTATTTTCATCGATCTAAAAAAGATTATTGATACAGTTCATCATTAAATCCTGCTACAAAATTTTGAACATAGCATGATATCTAATCTAATACCCATACCATAATACCCCAAAAAAAACAATATATATTAATTGTCACTAAGTTATCCTTTGTTGTGTACCACAGTGTTCTGTATTGGACCCACTATTTTTCTTTCTCTGATATGAATGATATGAAGTGAATGATATGGCAGACGATTCAGATATCAATGATATGAAGTAACAAATCGAAGTCTTATTTCTTTGATAAAGCTGATGGTTCCTTCTGGTGCTGTTTCAATGAAAGAAACATTAAGATTTGTTTTAGTTCATTCGCAGGGCCTTCTTATAGATGAGCGTTATACAAGAAATGCAACGCATTTCTCAAATAAACATTCAATTTAACCTATGGAGCGACCCCAATGCCCAAACGAGACAGCCTCTTTCTCGCAATCTAGCTTAATCCAGCTGTGATCACAGAACAGAACTAAGGCAGAAGAATTAGCGTTTTTTTGTTGTTTTTGAAGCCTGAAGCACGCAAAAAAATTTCTGAATTTCCCTTTTTGCCTAGTTTTTGCTAGTGTAACTTGACAGTAGTTTTAATTGATCTGGATCAAGTCTCATTTCTATGTTTAAAAAATTTCCGAGACAGATACATGTTGGTTCGTATTGGTTTGGGGACTGGAGGCCCTCAGTATGTTTAACAAGTAGTTGAGCCACTCCTCGTAGCTTCCTAATACAGAAAATATGTTTGCGCTATTTAGGAAATGGTAAATCCATTTAGAAGAAGTCATCCTTTTCTATAAAAAGGTTCATTTTGATATGGTTATTTGTTTATTGGTAGGACCGAAATGCAGCAATTACAATTTTAAAGATACGAACAACTATATATTGCAACATTATCATTTGGAATTTTTAGCCAGCCCGGAGGAAATCAAAATTCGACGCCCTCGAGATGCTGCTTTCGTCTGCCATTCTTTTCTATTAAGAGGAGATAGCCATGTTTAACGGTCCTGGAGTTGTCCCACCAATCTGTTGCTTTGGGTGTCGTCTTGTAGAACCTTTATAAGGTGGCTTGTAAGTTACAGTAGAAGTAACTTTTATGATAAAAATTTCATGGAAAGTAGAAAAATCATTTCATCAAGCTGATATCTTATCTGGTAGTCTACGTTTTCTGAATAGCATAGCAAGAACCATGAAGGGAAAGGCTCTAAATTGTGTAACGGATTCAAAGAAAATCTATTTTGCAAGAATGAAATATTGCTAGTTACATTCCAAAGGTACAGATGCAATCCTAGTTGTTAAACTTGTATTTATTTCTATTTCTTAAGGCAGCGAACAGAGAACAAATGTGTATTGTTACAAATTTATCAATTACAGCGGGAAAGCAGATATTTGCCAAGCCTGTTTCAACAGATAGGTTTGTCAATTAAATATTGAAAAAGAACTTCCAGTTAAAATGTTTTCAGTTATAATCAGTCATAGAAAAATTTTAAGAGCTCAAATCAACCTTTTTGTCGTATAAATGATGTTTGCAGTGAAACTGAGGCATCACATGGTACGCTAAGTAAAAAACTTGCATTTCTCGACAATGGCTGTTGTAAATAAACCGAGCTCTTCGTGAATAAACTTTCTGAGCTTTAGAGTTTCAGAGAGTAATCCTGCTGCCTAAAAAGCATCTGGCTGTAAGACATAACAGATTTTTCCGTTACACACTCTTTAACTTGTCGGTGTCTTGTCTTGTCGGTCAGTTGTGCCCAGCTAATCAAAAACTACCACGGATCAGTAAAATTTCCTTACAATTCGATATCAGATCAAAAAGACCGTTAAAAAGGTTTCTTTGCAGTAAATCCTGCGCAAGGAGAGCCCTTCCATCTATTCAACCATCCAAAAAAGTTTCGCTATTCATGAGTTTACGTGCCAGTATGGTGCTGGCTTTGTTGGGTGCAAAGTCCAAAGATTTGAGGGCAAAATGAGCAGCAATGTTGTCGTTGATTTGAGAATACAACCAACACTGCCAGCAAAACAAAAACAAATTGACAGGAAGTTAAAGGGCTAAGGTCTGATTTCATAGAAACTAACCTTTAAGAAACTACAGAAATTAATGACCAACAGGCCTATATTTTTGCTGTGGATAACTGTGTTAAAGTGTGAAGCCATTTCAATCTGTTAAAAAATTCACTTGTTCACTTAAAAGGTTTTTACCTTATAGCAACAGTTAAAGCATATTATCTAATTAGTTGAATAACAATACGAGACAAGATATCAACCCTTATAAATGAAACGCACGAACATTGCGCAGGAAATGGAAAAGCGTAATACTTTTTCCTTTTCATGAGTTTGATAGAGGGTGCCTTGACCTCCACAAGATAGAGAGAGATGCGGATGCACATCTAGCCTGAGTTTCAGACCATTGGGGCTTTAGCCAAGCATATTTTGAACCAATATTACTTGTATATTGTAACTGGTTGTAAAGGCAGTATGCTGGCATAGGACATTCAGAAAAAAAACATCGTCAAAATTTCGAGCTAGTATCACGAGGGTAGCTAACTGTTAATATTTTGTGTCTTTTTCTATAGGCTGAAGAGATAGTAAAATTTCAATTGAAAAACAGAAGAAACTCTTGGTACTTTGAAAATGCAAAAAATTGACGAGTTTAATGCTGGCTTGAATACTAAGAACACTATGTGCGCAAACATGATAGGAGATTGTGAAAATTTACTGACGGCACGCGTTTCAGGCTCATTTGTTTCCAAAATATTTTACTATCTCTGCATTCTATAGATCTTTCCGCTCCCAGATCAATTGAAGAAGGGAAAAGGCCCCCTACATACAGCTTGCATCCATTTTCAACAAACAGTTCATATACGTAAATTGTGCCTGCTTTACTTTAGTGTTGTAAAAGTTCAATCATACGCCAGAAGCGACCGGAGCTTTCTAAATCTGGAAGAGCTTAGAATATTGTGTTCACAGATAACTTTTCCTTTACTTGCTCATCCGACTTATCCAACTTATCCTAGTCCTAATCCAGTTGATTATCACTCTAGAATATCATTATCTTTATTTCATAGTAGCCTTATTTTGGCGCGATGCGTGAGAAGATATTTTTGTAATTTCGCATTCTATTTCTTAAACTTCTTTTCCGATCTAGCTTTGAATATTAGTAACCTCCTCCTATGCGTTTTTCATGATCTCAATTATAGCCATTAACTGTGAAACATCTGCAAACATGCTTTATGACAGATCCTGTGAAAATTGTACTCGTGAAATCAACAGGAATGGGTTCAGAACGGACCGCCACGGGATTTCTTGTACGATATTTACAAGAAACAGAACGTAGTCATTGTTTATTTTGGAAGTATGATCCTTTTATTAGTTTTGCATAAACAATACTGTTATTGTTAGAGTCCCCTTATCACCTCTGGAGCTGATATGAACTTCATATATAAGGCGATGAAATTATTTACGTTCTAGTCAGGGTTTGGTCTGCTGCAAGTCGTTTGAAAAGAGGCCCTTGTGTAAAGTCTCCTTGTGGCTGCCGGTGGGCCTGCTAGCAATACTCAAAATACAGGACTCTCTCGATAACAGTCACTCTCTTGTTACAAGGTGCCTGTAGCACTTCTCTTGTCAAGCCTGTTGAAAGACGCTTTTTCCGGCGGCTTATCAAATATCATATTAGATTTCATACATATTGAAAAGGACAGGTGGATTTATAGTGATATTCTCTCTCTTCGGATAGACGACACTGCAAAAATTCATTAGAGCAACCATTGCTTATATGTTCGGCAATGTCCAAAAGGCCTTGAAATAAGGACTCCACTATTCACTTTTAGCTAGATCTTTTGGATAGTATGCCGTATTCTGTGCACATATATTATCAATCAATCCATCCAGCTTGTCTGTAAATTGTTAGAGCTTTCCATCATACTTTGAATGTATCGATGTAACCAGTACAAGGAGGATCGCGGGGGAAGGGGATGGGAGGGGGAGGGGGAGGGTTTTTTCAGACCAGACCGTATGTAGTTGCTCTTGCTCAAATTAAAAACAAAGCTTAGATTAGATGCAAAATAATACTTTCCTGGCAGTAAGCAGTGAGTTTTTGGAAGATTGTTCATCTCCAGCTTCCTATCAAAAGATAAAATGGAACCCATAGCTAAAGCAGACCGCGAAGTTGATTGTTCCAAATTAACAAGTCGCGGTCAGGAGGTGTTCCCGATAGTGACGCTGCGATGGACAAAGTCGTGTATCAATTGGCCTAAAGTATTAGATGTTGTGCCTGTCACGGCTTAGGATGTTAAAAGGGCTTTATTTCTGGTGTTATGGTTCAGTTATCCAATAAAAGAGCTGATGTCTCCAGTACAAAATGGTTTAACAGGAGTATGAAATCAAATATTGACGAGCAGCCAGAAGAACAGCTGTTCTCCACGTTCAGACCTTGTGAACATGAGAGTTGCACGACTGGAGATTGCAAATTATTCAAACTTTAAAGCAAACGATAAGAGTGACGCTTCCCAGAGCTTTTACTTCATCGGGTCAATGAGGTATTAAGGATGAGTAGTATTAAAACTTTTGCAACTAAAACTAGCGACTCTGGGAGAGTATTTCAGAGTTTTTACCGCTTTCTATTCGCGAAACGTTGCTAGATGTGTCTACTGTGAATGCGGAACCGATTGGGAAAATCGCCTTTTCGCGTTTAATTCTTTGAGAGAGTGTTATGAATTATAACTTTTGAATGGATGCAGTTATCAAAAGGCCCAGCTAGATTCCAGAAAATGGATTGCAATGAAGAAATTAGGCTACCATTGGAGGTGCAGCTATGGTTTTTAGAGCAGTCAGGGTAGGTTCGCAATTTGTTGTCTATTATTTAAGTTGTTTTATTGTTATGACTTGTCGTGATTGCAGTAATATTTCTGTTCAGCAAGCAATCAGTATTGAAATATTTTCCATTAGAAAAACCAACAAAGTTCTCGAAAACTCTGTAAGGTTCTTTTTACGAAGCCTCGCGACAATTTGAACAGATCTGATTTTGCAAAACCGATATATTCTTCTCGAATTTTAACTCATCAATATAAACAAATGTCTATTTTAGCAATTATTCATTTTTCTGAAGCGCAAAAACCTTATGATGTTTGTGAGCAATATGTTAAACTACCTGAGTAAAACTTATTTAATATATTTCCCTATTTCGAAATGGCGTGGAACAGCATGTTAAGATCATTAACTTTTTATAATAGCAATTAAAAGTGCTTTTGTAAGCATTGCATTCAAGTTCTGCTATGATAATATCTCAGGAGAGTCTTGAATAGTATCATTTTGGTCTATCAAGTGCCCACAAGTGGGTTATCTTCTTTATCTTAAATATGGCAACTTATTTGCACAGTTAAGTTTGGATCAGGCTGTTCTCAATTTACCACGTTGGTGAGAATGGCTGTTGATATCTTGTATTCTACAATCAGAAGTCAACAGAAATACTTAAAGTTTACTTACATTTAGATATAAGATGTGCCCTTGCTACCTATTAAATTTCTTATAGCAAAACCATTTAATAGAGATATAAGAAAAAATTTGTTATGGGCCATTTGAGCAGACTCCTAAAATACTTTTTTTGTATCTAAGTTTTTCTTTCTTATTGTGGTTATAACATTGCTTGAAAATATTGTGCTTGCACAGTGACAGAAAATAATTTGGTTTTAAAAGCGAGGTGAAAAATGAATGTGAAAATGGTGTCTAAAAAAGTTCAATTTTAGACTAGCAATTGTTTACAGGTACAACTATATTGGTTTTTCACAATGATTGAATTTGTTCAGGATATTATGCCCAGGAAAAAGTTTAAAATGTGAGGTGATAAAATTTACACTTGTCATGCCAACTGTTTAGGTTGTCAAGGTTTCTTAATTAATATCACGAAAAACATTTTATAATGTTTCTCTGCCTATAGCTCTGTTTACACTACAATTTTTAAACTGGGTTAATGCTAACCTGGGCTGAACCCAGGTTGAACCCAGGTTGAACCCACTTTCGTTTACACTACATTAACAACAAAGTATAGTGTAAACGCAAAGTTAGGTTGAACCCAGGTTAGATTCATCACGCATGCGCTTCGTTGTGAAAGACGCTTTCTGGTACATGAATCTAGCTGTTGCTGGATGCTTCGTCCCCCCATATTTCGATTAACGACATGACTTCATTGTTGCCCCATAGTTAACCTCTTTCAGCCTTTGTTTCATTCATTTTCAAGATATGCTGCTTTAAATTGAAGGACCTTTTTGCACGAGCGTTCCAAGACAATGGCTCAAAAGGCGCATGTGCGAATTAGATCGTTAACCTGGGTTCAACCCAGGGTTGCGTTCACATTGCATTTCGAAGTTCTTAACCTGGGGTCAATCTAGGTTCAACCCACCTCCAGAGTAGGGTTGGCTTAACCCAGGTTCAACCCAGGTTAGCTGCGTTTACATTACAAAATTTCTATCCCAGGTTAATGTTAACCCAGGTTCAACCCAGGTCAAAAGTTGTAGTGTAAACAGGGCTTATGTGAGTTTCTTCTTTGTTCCTCTGCCTATGTGAGTGACAATAGGGATTATTCCTTCTCTAAAAAGGCTGTAAATTATCTCCTAACTTTTCGAATATTCTAAGCAAGGTAGAAACTTTGGCAGAAAATGACCAAAGTGGCAATTAGCTCTGTTTTTAGCCATTGAAAGATTGTTTTTATAGCCTGGTTTTAACTGAAGTGCTGAACCAAAGTGGTTTTTTAGCAGTTACTCAAAAGTGGCACTGTGCTTATTTGATCATCAGAAAACAGACAATGGATTTTTTGTGTAAACTTTTTATTGGCTTAACTGCTCTTATTTCTGGTAATTGCTCTTTGAATTTTTTTCAACATTTTTTTCTAAATAAAATAGTCTGGGAATAAATTGGGGCTTGGAAACTCTTGAATGATACAGATTTAAAACTCATGATGGGATAAAGATCCAAAACACAAAGAGGAATATTGATTAATCAAAAACAAAGTATTATTTTCTGCTCTTTTCTTAAAAACTTCAAATCACCTGTGCCAATTAGATATCGGATTTCTGTCTAAATTTGGCAATGAACAAAACCCTGGAGAGTTTGTCAGACTGGAAGATTTATGTAGTACAAAAATATATTTTCTGGTCAATGTTCAAGGTCAATGACCAAAAATCAATGAGCAGAGAGGGGTCCTTACAATAGCAGAAGGGGTTCTGAAAATTTTTGGATAATTAAGGGTGTGGGTCTGTTTAATATATTCAAAAGAAGACAGTCGATCAGAAGCCTGATGATTGCATCAATAATGAAAATCAGAATTGAATCAACTTGTTTAACACACTTAAATAAGCGAATATCATATGGTTACGATACAGGTTGCCATAAAGATAGGATACGAGGAGGATAAATCCCAGAGGGAAAATCCCAAAAGTACGGCTTGGTTTATGCAATCAGCATGACTGCGTTTTCTGGCCAAAGCCATTAAGAATGAGTCTTCAAACATCAATTGTTGAAAGCTTGACTTTTATCTTATGATTAAAACACTTACTATCTGATACAAGTCTTGATTAAGATGTTCAGTTTGTTAAGGGCTATCTAAAAGGATTTATAAGAACATCTTTTGTTTAGAAGCAGCTTCATGCTCCAGAAGGAAGTCAGCTGTTTTCTGATTAATTTGAAAATCTCTTATGGAAACTTTGATCATCCAGGTAGTTGGAAATTATGATGTACAATGCTTCACATTTGCTGCTGGGGTTTCAACTATTTTTAGCGTGATGAAAATTTTTGGAATCAATTTGCTTTTTGTGATGATAGTAACTTTTGAATACTGAAATCGTTATCAGAAGTGTGCAGGCAGGAAAGGGGCTGAGAAAAATAAAACAACTTAAATAAAACCCCCTAGAATCGAAATTATCTTCAAATCTTAAAGCCATTCTGAAAAAAGATCAAGATCGCCGATACTCTTGGGAAACTTGCGCAAGCACGATAGGCCGGCATCTCAATTCTTGGTTTTTTCTTGTCCGTCGACAAATGTCGTAATTCTTTTATGCAATAACATTTGTATTTCACTCAAATACTGCCGACTTTGCTATGTTATCTTCAACGGCAGCCGTTGCCTTTGCGATGTGTTCATTTCTATGCACCTCTCATTTTTCAAACTGTCTATTGAGTTTTTATATTCCTTTAATTATTGAAGTTTAATTTAATTATTGAAGATATTGAGTTTTAAAACTCTAAACATCGATTCCTTATCTTAATCACCTTAATCATCGAAAATAAAATGATTGATAGAAATTGACGGATCAATATTAGGTGTGGTTTGATTTAATCAAAGGGAATCATATTTTTCAATTGCTCTTATTTACCAATCCGGTTCGGGCACCTTGCCAAAACTAATTCCTTGCAGGTTCCTCAGTCGCATTTCTTATCATCGATGAGAAAAGTAGGCATTTGTTGGTTTGCCCTTCTATTTCTGTTTCAAAAGTAAAAACCATAAATCATCAATCGACCCCGTAGTTCACGTTTCTTTCAGTTTCTTAACTACAGAAACCTTAGATAAGATAGTACGCTTGAGTATGTAGAGACAACTGGTCTTAGGCGGCGCTGAAAACGAAGACGCGTCTTGCAGTATTACGCACTATGGACGTACCTTACTCATTTTTTTTCCTAAAGTCATAAAATCGTCCAAAAGTCGAAACCCGCGACAATCGGTGCTGTCTGTTGTAGACCCTAGAAGCGAATCAGCCTCGCGTCAAAATAGTAGGTCACATTATCGAAGCCAAAAGTCTTTAATGTTAAGGTCTTTCATGTTATTCCAATTGTTCTTAGATAAATCAAGAGTTTCATGTTAAAATATGCGATAAGATGCAAAGTTTTAGTGAAGGGATACAGCGCATTGCTGAACAAGGGCCTTCGATGAAATTTTCATGCCTTGAAGTGTTCAAAATCTAGTAAGAGATCATTGGCAAAAGGCTTGGAAAGTGAAGATCTCTTTCTTATCAAAAACTATTCCAGTTATGTTCTTTAGGAATGTTCCCCTTAATAAGGGCTTGTAGATGATATTAACATCGCTGTTTTTATCTAATTTCATTGCCATTACTAAGTCCTTTGGTTATCCAGGAAAAAAGTTATTCAGTTGTTTTTTTGTCAATGGTTTTTAAATGAAAGAACATCATGCTGCTTCGAAACCTTTAGATCGATCGAAATAAGGAAGGACTTAGGCCGCTACAAAGTAACAATTTCTGGATTGGTATGATAATACGAATGAATTGGCGTAATGTCAAGGTCATGATGTCCATTTTTTATTAAAGAAACTTAACGTAAGTAGCAGATTCAATATTATTTTTTCTATAGAAAAGCGGCGCTGATTTGGCAAAGTTAACAGTCATGGGCTGATGTTCAGTGCTATTGTACTTTTTACGATTATAAGTTCCTTTTTATTACTTTCTTTAAGATAAGTTATCAGTTTCTACATCGTTGATCGATTTGCGAGTGTTTAGTGACGTCATGCAAAACCTGTTCAGCGGATGTACAAGATAAGCTTTCCACTCTACTTAAAAGTTAATGCAACCACATACTTTCAATTGGTTACTGTTTCTAGGACATAATCCAAGTTCTTTTAAATTAGCTTTTAGCTTCAAGCAAACAAAATTTTTTATTATCTCATATCTTAAATTTGAAAATAAAAAATCTCAGAGTTTTAATTGTTCAATTGTACTTGTGACCTTTGCAAAGAATACAGATGCAACATTGGTTATGTATGATTTGTATTATTCGAAGGTAATTTAAATTAGTTGGTTTTAATTAGCTCTAATTAGATGTAATCATCTATACGTTGTACCAACTTTTAATAAAAAATTAAAAAAAGTATTCTCCAAGATCATCATTAATTATCAGTACTTAATTGTTAGGTAATAATTTTTTATAATTTCCGTATCACACTACAGGAAATATGTTTACTAAGGTTTAAAAATACTGAGCTTTTGAAATTTTTCCCTTGTCATTGAATTCAAACAGTCACAAAAGTTTATTCAATTTTTTGAGCAATTCATGCTTTTCTTAGAAATGTTTTAATTTCTTTTTTAGATACTTTTTAAAGGCGAGATTGGATGACAGAAAGTACGAAGCTGCCTGTGTTGTAAGTTTCTCTCATTTGTACATCCCTTCTAAAGCTTTTCTTTCTTCATAACGAATTCCTGCGAGCATTCCTACCTCGCAACCAAGCCCTTTTTAAATGAAGCCACCATTTTGATCATTGCAAATCTTTTCAACACATCAATTTCTATTTTGCTAATCCTTTAGGAAACCACACTATCTCCAATTCCTTGTTCTGCTCGAGGTAGTCTTTGCTACTCTTGGCTTCTAAGCGTAAAGAAAAACTGTAGGCAGTGGTGTAATAAAACTTATTCTTAGTGGAGATTTCAAACTTTCAATGTTTATAATGTTATGAAAAAAATCAATGGAGTTGTTTTGGACAATTCAAGTTCGTCTCAGAAAGGCCTGCACGATTTCCTCTCGGTGCACAGTTCTTCTCTTCATGAAGTAGTGCCAATAGTTTTTCTAGAAAGTATTTATAGATTTTTATTGAAATTCTGTGCCATTTTACCAGTTATCGGGTTTTGATTTGTTTAATATCCGTCTAACAAGATGAACTCAAAGCCACGTCTTCACAATGCAGCTGTTTTCATAAAGCTATTGAAACCAGCGCGTCCTACGGCTGCAATCCTCACCTAAAGGCGGAATCCTTTGAAATCCAATTTGTTTGGAAATAAGCGTACTATTTTGCTTCAAAACCTAGGCCGAATTGATTAGAATTTTCTGTAGCCAAGTGTAAGTGACAAGATTTCACACACCACTACTGTGTAAACCTTATTTTTTTCTATCATCCAACTGACCGTGCTAAATCTACTTTAGTCTCCATTTAGTTGAAGTTTGCTGGGTCAAGGCAGAATTTGCAATTTTAAGGAAAGTCCATGTTTTTGAGTTCTTCTCAATGTGATTACTAAACCAGTTAATGAAATTAAGCAGATCGAATTCTTTTGATCCTTTTTTCAAATAAGCTTTCTGGAATAAGTATAACTTGTTTGTCAGACCGAATCAAACGCAGTACGAATTTTGATACCAACTTGTGAACCTTGAGTTTTGGGATGGGTTTCATTTCAACTAGCCACTGCGAATTAATTAGGGCTCTGCGATTGTGTTTATCTGAAAGGCATCGTACAATGCAGTAAAGAGCAAAACTGAATTTTTCAGAAATTTTCAATCGCTGGAAAAATGATAATTATCTGCAGCCTGGAGCACATAGCAGCAGAATATATTAACTTCTCTGGCCCCCTTCAGCTTGAGATAAGACTTTTCTTACCAGGTGAAGTTTCTAATGGCTTAGACCATTCTTCTTGCGATTCGCGATACGGTTCTTTCATATAAAATGTATTGATTTTAATTTATCTCTCTTCTGTACGCGTTTACTTATTAACCTAAGAGCAAAACGGCCCCGTTTCTCAAACACAAGAAGCAAATTAATTGTTTCCACGAATTTACCGCCGCACACAAGACATTTTTGGCGTTTTGTTCAGCAAAATAATTATGTGACCAAAATGCTTTCGTGTACGACCAGCTTACGCAAAACCAATGTACCCACAGGCAATGTGCGCAAAACAAACGCAGGAAACACCTGTTATGCTTTCAGTCATCATCTGTTTGCAGGTTTTTCTCGTTGCAAAACAATTAAAACCAATTGGTTGAAAGAGGCGCCTTCATATTTGGTCTTAAGTAAAAGCAGTTTAGGATTACTCTTGTAATCATATACTTGATTAATCAAAACTCCGCACTGACGTGTGCAATTTCAATTAGCAGTCATTTTAGTTTGATTTTGTAGACGTTTTCCTGCTTGCAGTTCAATTAAGACCCCATCAACTTTGAACTATATTGACTTTTTTGTTAATTTCACTGGTGTTGGTTAAGATGACCGATAATCAGTGAAAAAGAGGCATTATTGTTCAACGATAAGCAGCGATTAAATGACAAGAAGTATTATTTACAAAAGGCCATGAAAATCCATCATCACACAAACGAAAAAGTTAAAGATAAGCAAGTTAACGGTTTTCATTGTCTGAGATTATGAAAATTTTGGGACAGCTCTGAACGGGACTGCTCTGCACTGCACGGGATGGAATTGCACTGCACGGGATGGGACTCACGAAATAGCCCCTCTTTTCTGAAGTTAACTTTTTAGATTTTAGTAAAGCCCAGCACCATATGAGCAGCTGGGGGCAAAGACATTTTCAGTCAACTGGTTTTTCAGTCAACTGGTTTTCAGTCAACTGGTTTTCAGTCAACTGGTTTTCAGTTATTCACTTTATATTCCCTAGTGTTATATTCCCTAGTGTTACTGTCGTACTAACTAAGACCGTGTTTTTCTAAAGATAGGGTATCTTCTTTTGTAGTTGTTTGAGCGAGTTCTTTGTGGCTACATCAAACGCGAGCTGAAAGGAAAGCTTCAAGTTGTGTACAGCGATCTTATTCGCCTGTTGGAGCACATCCATCGGTGGGACTTTGTCAAGGCTGCTTGTCAAGGCTGCTTGTCCATATGTTATTCAGTGCACTGCTCAAATCCTTGCTAACAGAAGCAACCTGGGCATGAGTGACAGGCTCACCGTCGCAGTCACCAGGCTTTTGTCTACAACTCATTGGTGCTTTATAGATGCTCCTGCAGACTGTGATCTGGACCCTAAAAAGGTGCTTTTTCCCGCCAAGACTGTCGATTTGTTTATACAACTCTTGATTCCCTGTGCTCACAATATTCACGAGGAAGACCTTACATTTAGCTTAAAGAGTGGCATGCTCATCTGGCATTCGCTATGGAAAAACGTTTGTCCAGATATTCCTTCTTTTAAAAGGCCAGTTTTTTTAGAAAAGTGCAAATCCGCATCACCAAGTTCATCGAGTAAACGAGGGATGCTAAAGTATTTTGATATGGTAGTTTTGAATAGCCTTTCGAAGAGTTTTTTATGCGAGGAGAGTCTGTGCTGGTGTTTGATTTACATTTCGCAACTGCTTCATAATGAATTTCATGATTATCGAGAATCATTGTCGAATACTCGCAACTTAAAATATGGTGGCAAAAAGAGTGTTGCTGTTAGATATAGCATGCCCCTTCTACAATCCCAATCCGATAATAAACCCAGCTCTTCAAAACTGACATCTCCTGAGAGTGATATCAATGTAAAAGAATTTCACAGAAATAGTAGACATTTTGAAGAACTTGAAACAGTCTTTTTGTCCGATGAATACGAGCAGTGGCTTAGAGAGGATGGAAGACTACATCATTCCGCAGTGTTGGACCTTGTTTATAAGATTAGCAAAGGTGCTACGTTGAGACTTTGCGAAACCTTGTTGCTCACACTTCACATCCTTCTGGAGCTTGGCGTAGTTAGCGAAAAGGAGGAGATCATTGGCGATATAGACGTGAATCTTGAAACCACTGTTTACTGCTTATTAGATTTAATAACAATGATTGGCTGTAATAAAAATGACTCGGGAATGCGCGGCAGCAAGGGACAGGACCTGCGTGTCCTCTCGCACGATATGTTCAGTAAACTTGCATCAACATATCCACATCAGCTGAGTCTGTTGGTAGTTCTCTATGTAAGAAACAAGTCTGTTGCTGAAGTTTTGAATTTCTTGCATTCGTTTACGGGTTTGTGCTTTGGTAAGTTTGATATCTCTCCGATACAGAGCAGGAAGAAGGGAACTTTAGCTGATATCAATGCCGCGCACCGCAGTCTGCAGAGCGAGGCGAGCAGTGACAGTGACACATCGTATGTGAAAGAAAAAAACGAAGAAATTCTAATGTCATGGCTTGGCATGCCTCTTCTCGATAAATTTATGCTTGAAGATAAGGCATGCAAGGAGGTAAGTCGTCTATGCAATTTGAACCTTGTTACAGGAGGAGGAGGTTTTAGGCTGAAGCCCAACCATTTGTTATAATTTTTTCATGTTGTCTTTTTGTTCTTGTATTTCATTACAATTTCCATGCAGAATATGCAGACACTGAAATTGTGAATTCTTGTTTTTGCATCAACGACCGTTGCACTGACATATCTGGCCCCGAAGCCTCTCCTACCCTTGCACACATTCGCTTGTACGCACTCCTGTTTTGCATGCTTTGGGTGGTGTTGTTTTTTAAATATGTTTTTATTACTCACGCCAGCATTAAAATACGTGATCGTTTCTTCCCTTGTTTCTTAGCATCCCAATCTCCTAGAAATGTTCTAGGACAGCGTCTTCATGTTTATATGCATAGAAAGCTCAGTTTGTGGCTTATGGAGCCAACTTGTTGACGAAACATAAGTTGACGATATTTTTGTACTTGGTCCTTCGTTTTAGGAACATCGACATAAAATTACGAAATTGTTGTCATACATAAACAGCCAGCATCCAAGAATAATGAGGAAAATGGTGATGAACGGGGTATTAAATTCCTTTTCAAAATCAACGGACGGCAACAGTGTAGGAGATGGTGCAGCAACATTTGTTGATGGCTCTGCTCGACACCGTCCTTCGGAAAGTGGTTCGCTTCATTCAAAGGAATCCAAGTCAAAAACGAAACTATGGTCGAGGGCTAATGCCACAGCTGACTCAAAGATGCGCAAAAAGGTAATACACCATTTTAACTCTTCGAAATCCTTGTTTGCTAAATCATATGTCTCTTGCCAATCAAAGTTGTTTATATTTCTAGTGAAAGTGATTTGTGGACAGAAAATTAGTGTAAAACCCTGGGTCTACATCGTTAAGGACTCGTTTTTTTGACATGGTTTTTTCAGCATAATGTTGAAATGCACATGAATTTTCAGTGCCGGAGTTTTAAATTGTTTAAATGTAGATTTTTTACTAAGTTAGAATCTCTACATATCTGATTCACCAGTTCTTCTAACATGGCCTCCTCACTACCAAATTATTTATTTGACATCAGCACTCTCTCAAAAGCCAATTGGTCACCCCATGGCTAAGACCCTAAGCTTTCTCTGTAGAAATAGAATATTGGGGCCACAGTCATCCTTTGTATATGTTATAGGTGGATATATTAGGCATCCAATATTCCATCACTACTATAAGGTATGGAACGATAACAGCAAAACAGTTTTATTCTCGTGTGTGAATTTGGCTCTAGGCGAAAATCTTCGACTGAAGTCCCTTTCGCAGTCGTAGTATACTTTGATTGATTTCTTTCTGGAAAAAATATTAACAGAAAAGTAGAACTGCGGTCTGTGCTCCATACCACGTTTCCCTTCCTCCTATGTTCCCGGTACTTCTTCCTCCTCCCATTATCCCGGTACCCTTTAATGTTTCGTTTGTTATGCTTCAAGATTTCCTTTTCACCGCAGAAAAGTGTCTCTAAGTCGATAGTAAAATATGCAACCGGGAAACAACTGTAACAGGGATAGTTAATATTTTTTCTTTCGTGTTAGCTACCATTGACAAGAGCTAGAGGCCTCACGATTGATGATTTTGGTGAAAATACGATGGATACTGCTGGGAGTCCAGAACTTGTGGCCATCAACCAGCAGTCTTCAAAAAAAACGACCAGGCCCTCAAGAGAGTCATCAAGCCTTTCCAAGACCTTTGCAAATAACAACAAGTTTAAAATCTTTAAAGGGACAAAACGCTCGAGGATGGCGTCGGTTGTATACAGTGCTGTTGAACCTGAAGATTCGCCAGTGTTTGTTGACAAAGTGGCCGGTCCAAAGCTAATCGATTTAAGCGCTCTCTTGAAAGGAATAAAGCATTTCAGATTCATAAGTAGCTTTATTGCACCTGGACATGTTCCCGAGGCCGCTCTTATTGCAGCATTAATGGACTTGGTGAGGCTACAGATTCTTGTGTTTACTCTCTTTTAAAAGTCAGTTCTTAGTCTTCTAAAATTATGTGCCCTTGAATGATGCTACTAAAAGCTACTAAAATTTCGCAACGCAACCTTCCTTCTTGTGACGCCAATACTTTTGCATTTAAGCTTATACATGTAGGCTATAAATGAGATGTGGGAAGTGAGTCATTGAACCTTTGATGGGATATTATTGACACAGTTGTGATTGGAATTGTCTACTTTTTGCAACAGTTATGCAATGCAGTTATAATTTAAAGCCTGTATAAGATCATACACGGCTCAGTATTAAGCCCTTTAAGTTGTTAACATTGCAGTCTTTTGCGATGTGCTGCAAAATCAATTCGCCGTATTTATTTCATAGGTACCCTTCCTGTAATTTAGACACGGTCATATACTTGTTACAGGTTTCTTCCTTTAATGACCATGCTAAGCTTTTAGATAAGAAAATATATTCAAGTCGTTTAACTACTGGAAACATACATTTCCTCTCTGTGTTTGATGTCTTAACACTTACCCCTGTAATAATTTTTGATGGTTTCAATGGTAATTTTGGGTTTATAAATAAGCAGTGAAGTTTTATCCGAGGATGTCAAATGTATGATCTCTATTTTGTAGAGAGCCCCTGTTTTGGCCAGGGCTGCAGTTCTTTTAGAATGCTGCCATTTGGTGCATGCTTGTAATAAAGGGACTGGAGATGTCTTTTCGCGTCCAGAATTTTCAACTAAAAAGGACATGGCGATGATGTTTCACAAATGGGCACTTGCAATTGGCGGGAAGCTTGAAAGTATCATTGAAATGGAGAATGAAGCTCTTGGGGAACGAACGGGCGATTCTTGCACATTGGACATGTCAGAAAGAAACTTTTTGCATGAAGGTGAGGAAGTTATCAAACTTATATGCGTTGTGGCACTTAAGACGAACGTCATTCATTCAAACGGCTATCGGACACGAAGCTTTCGAACGTGAAACTTTGGGATACTTGCCTCTACAGTTTTTTCGATTGAAAGGACATTTGAAATTGGAAGAAACATTGAGACACATCACATGGAATATGAAAATCAAAGAGCAGAATGTGTGATAAAGAATGTTAGCTTTTTGTAACCATATTTCAAGGGTACTAAAGGGAGGCACTAGTGATTTGCGTTCCATTGTGACAATGGCGAACTATCTTCATTGACAACTTTGTGCTGTTTAAGATTAAAAGTCGCGGATGAAGATTTTACCCCCGCAAAACAATAAAAACAAAGCTTGTTGGATACAGGGCTCTTTAATTATGTAATCTTGAATCATTCTTAAAATTTATCGACAAAAAACAGCTGACTTGGGTTATATCATTAGGAAAGGTTTGCATCCTCATCAGCACTATCGACGAACTTTATTTTATTGCTCTTATCGAGAGGTGAAAATAATAGAATTAGGGAGGTAATTGAATCACAAAAGAGACAGTAAAGCACCCAGACTTGCCTGGATTCAAAGTGACCAAATTTACCGCAGAATTGCATAATAGCTTGGGGAAAGAGGAAACCAATCGTACAAAAGTATTTTTCTCTGACCATAGCGAAAATATCCAGGAGCAGATCGAAAATAACTTGAATGGAAGAATGACGCGTTCCATCGGTTTCTTGGTTTTGATTAGTCAGCAACAGCTAATGCAAGTCAGGATTTTTGTTCAAATGTAAGCAGATTCCAAAGCGTCTGAATAAAAAAATAATCTTGCTTTCCCACTTTTTTTTGAATTGCCGTCACTGTATATTTTAGTGCACTCTTGATTCTCCGAAAATAGGATTTTTATTCTTTGAAATATATATTTTGACATGCATGCTGAATTCAAACGTTTAAGAGCAACAGAGAAGGCTGATATAGTTTAATCGTGATTCAGCTGTAAGTTTAGAGAATTTTGTATTGTATCTATCAAAGCAACCAAAGCTTAGCTTAGCTTCCAATAGCAGAATCAGACGCCTTTAAGTAACATGAACATGCCCACGGACACCCTTTTTGTCGCTGAAATCTTCTCCATTAATGAAAATTTCTGATGACGGCTGAAACACTTCCTGCAGAGGTTCGTTTGCGCATAATCTTACCATCACTGTTATCTTATCAAAGAATTTTCCCTCGAAATTCAAGGATTATATATTTTAATTCTGCAAAACAAGCCATTCCGTAGCACCCAGATGGCTTTTTCAGCTAAGCTCTTTGAAACTTCTCAAGGATCCTTGAGATTTTTCAAAGCTTTTTTTAGACCTTGTTTTATCCCGTGATAAGTCGATGATTCACCAATAGCTACAGAGAGCTTACGCGATATTCACCGTTACCTATTTTTAAATAAACAAGAAAATTATTTCCTGCCCAAACTCCGGCTGCGCACAATTTCCATGTGTTCACCGCAAAAGGAACGTGATTAATGATCCAACGTCTTAGGTTATTAGAGCTTGGTCTTGTCGATAGACAGGCTGCAGTAAGCTACTGTGAACTTTTCAGGCAAATCTCGTATCCTAAAATTTGTGTATTGGAAATTATATTAAAAGGTCTTCTTGCTAAGAGGCATTTTTTACTGCTAAGGAATTTCAAATTTTGCGTCAAATTTTTTTCAGGTGATTTGAGCACTGTGTCGACATACTGTCCCTACGGATTAAAACTTCTAGCGTGTCAGCTGCTTCTGGAAATCACTGCGTTTCTCAGAGATAGTTGCAGGGCCTATGGAACTGATAAGGAGAATGCGACCTTCCCAAAAAACTGTGTAAATGACAACAGAAAAGTGAGCTCTGCGTCGATAGCTCACGCAAGGAGGTCAGTAGCTAGCCGGTCATACAGGGCCCCTGTAATTGCTGTAAGTGATGAAACAGGGTCGACAGCTGGCGCCAAGCGGAAAACCAGTGGATACAATCGTTACGGTTGGCTTTGCTTCTTTCTTTCTGAATAAAACTTAGTATAACTTCAAAAGCTTTCTAATTTGTAAATGTTTCACTAGATAGATTTTTGAACGATGATTGAAATTTTGCTCATTTAAAGTTTTCGTCCTTCCTCGCACTGACAAGTTCATATTTTTTTAAAAATAGTTGTAGGCTCCAGCCCAAAGTACCAACGAAAATTGTCTCGACGTTCTTCCAAAGTTTACTCTGCGAGACCGTTTAAAGATCATCAGCCTCTTACGTCATCATTTGACGAAGATGATGAAATTCCATCCGAGGCACAAGACCTTAGATGGGTTTCTGCTGTTGTGAAGCTTGTTAAATTCATCCACACAAGAATTACCGAATTTAAGATTGACAATTGGGAACTGAGGTTCGAGAAAAGTTGGAAAAATTTGAAGGAAAGTCTTGATGTTTTGTATAACTCAAATTTGAATGGTATCACACCTTCTGGTAGAAGAAGTGCGGTTATTGGAGAACTTTCGATATCTCCGGAGCAAGTTCACGACCAATCAGATGATCTGATTTTGAACTATCTTCGTTACGAGGTTGGTTGGAAACATTTTTCCATAAATTTTTTTAATGAAACAGTTGTCAATTTAGATTCTCTTTGAATGAGATTTCACCAGTGGCCTAGGTTTTTCCAAGGAATATTTCTCACAGCATTTTTTTAAAGAGCCAAGTTGATTTTCAGTTAGGTCATCATTTCAATTAATTGTCAGTTAGGTTATCTCGGTCGCCTTTCTGCTGTCCTTTTGTTTTCGCATTTTTCTATTTTCTTTACACGTATACATTAATTTGTTATGACCGTTTTCTTGTAAAAGATTTTTTCACAAATATTTGGCACCTTTATTTTCAAAAAATATCCTTATGGTACCTGTTGCTTGCCATAAAAGAATCACGAAACTTAGTATACCAATAAATGTCAGTCAACCTGTCATTACAGTCAATCAATCATACCACTCTGTCAGTCATTACAATAAGTCAATCAATCATTACAACATAACATTACAATCAACCAATAAAACCAATCAACCAACCCATCATTCAATCAATCATTACAATCAAACATTACAATCAACTAGTTTGTCAAATCGTTAATTCAAATCAAGTGTTGCCTTTTACAGGTTTCCGGGCTACACCATGTCCCATTCAGTATGATATGCAAAGCTGCTTTGGTCATAGACCAGTTGCATTTCATGGAAATGATACCTTGTGCATGGCATATGCTGTTGCATTCGGACAAACACCTGGTATCAGCTGCAGGTAAGATTTGGCCTAGTATTATTTTGTTTGCAGATGGAATCAAAACCAATCACTAATCAATCATAACTCGCTCTTTCCACTGGTATTCCGCGTAGAAGTGTTTTTGAGAAGCTTTTTTAAATTAAACTGCTCCCTAGGAGAAATTCCTCGGAATTTTCAATTGCTGATTCCTAAAAAGACAAGACAATCGTCTTCCTTGTTTGTTGCAGAAATTTTTTTTGCTTCTCATAACCAATTCTAAACATGCCTGCTCTTGCCCATTATCTTACAGAGTTTCAGTGGCTTATCAATAAGCCCAAGTAAATAGCAACCTTTAATTCTTGAGATCGCTTATTTTTCGTTAAATTCAGCTGCTATCGTGTTGATGTCTGGTGCTCAAATTGGCAGTTTTGTGACGTCATTTATCAAGAAAGAAATGAGCCAGCCAGATCCGACTGATAGAGCCGAGGCAGTTTTCAGGTTAAATTTCATCAATATTCTTTCATTTATGAGCCTGAAGTTTTCCTATATCGTCATAACTGATAAAATCTTTTATCTGGTGCTTCTGCTTTTAAGAGCCGGACCCAATTGAAACCTAATGGTATTTTAATAGAACATTAATTTTGTCCCATTTCATTATGCCATATTGTGTCATATTTCATCATGCTTCTTCTGCTCTCAACATTTTTGTTTGAAAATACCCATAGGGCCATAGAAGTATTTTAAAGAATTTGTAGTTATGGTCACAAAATAAAAATAGAGCTAAAATATTAATAAAGGTAATAATAGATTTTGTGTTATCTTAAAGTATTGTTTGCAAATTACAATGGACATGCCATTTTAAACATGTTTTTTTTTCAGGTTCAGTGTCCTGTGGAAATATCGCTACAACGCGCTGAGCAAAATGGAAAGGAATGCAATTTCTTCATTGAAGGTCTGATATATTCTGAAAGATATGAGTCAGCCAGATATGACTATGCTTTGTCTATATTGTATTTAAGGCTTGGTTATAGATTTTTGCGGAAAATGTTATGCAAGTTACGCTACTCCTGCTAAGAAGTTTTATTTTTGCTTTGAAGAAAGTAATATTTGGTTTGCGTTTTCCTTATTTATTTTCGACATTCTTGTTTAGATACCTCCACCGAAAATCGACTATACGCTGCCGTCTCCACTCATTGGCAGGGACCCACCTTTAACAGCAGATTCACCTTGGGTAGCAGGCTCGCCTTTTCTTTGGGAGACAGACGATTCTGAGATTAGTCAAAGTGAGTGGTATTATGATGAAGAAAAAAGGCTAGAGGCGAAAGAGAAGAGGAGGAAAAGTAAACTTACTAAGCTGAGGAAAAGGTTTCATTTAAGAAATGTTCCTCTCTCAACCGAAGCTGGCACTGAGGCGAAGGGGAAGGAAGAAGAAGACGAAGACGAAGGTGGGAACCTTTTCTATTCTTATGCTTTGTGTCCCCTTTACGAAATCTTTGGCTATATCGGCAATGACAGGACGAAAGACCTTCATGGTTTAGATCCAGGTCTTATTTACATTATGAAGCGCTCGATGCCGTGTTAAGCCATTTTTTGGCCTAGCAACTTTTCTTATGATACATAATCCTTTTCCTGGTTTCTACATCTAGCAGTTCTTTAAACAAGATTGAAAAAGTTTATCTTAATTTTTTTGATGACCCAATAACTCAATAAATTTAATTTTTAGAAAAGGGTAAATTCTTCAGATAAAAAACAGGATCGTATTTTATTTTATTATATACCCAATCTAATGCTGTCTTGCCAGATGAATGGTTGACTACCTTCTGCATTGATTAATTGCTTGTTATTATCATCAATTGTTGTCATAGATACCTGGGCTCCTCCCATTCATGCTTATAATTCAGGCTTCGAAACATCAGAGTTGTTTCCTCCTTCAATTTGTGCTGTGGCTCTTGATGTCATACGTCTAATGGATGATACTGCTTTGGCTTTGGATGGCAAATCAGGTAGACTTTACGAGACTTTATCCTGTCTAATAGCTTAACTGTACAATTTTTTACGTAATGAACATTGCTCAATCTGATGCCAATATATTGATTAACAGAATTTACACTTATTTATATTTCCCTTCATCAGTTTTTGAATATGATGTTTGCACATCGCCTTTGTAACATCTTGCATTGTTAAACTAAATTGTTTTGTTTTTTAGTTGGATGTGTAGCGTACCAAGTCGTGTGGAATTGTCTCGTTGACGACCCTGATCTCTTCTTTAGATCGGTATACGAGAAAATAACAAAAATAAACAAGCAGGTAATCTCAAACTGCTGTTATTAGTATTGTTGCATCCAGAGCATGCGTACATTCGAGAATCTATTCTGTAGGATAAACTTTGTCACGAAGAAATAATGGTTTAATAGCACCAGGATAAGAATATTTAGATGCAGATTTATCCTCAGTCATCCGGCCTAGCACCCCATCCTTCTTGCTCGTCTCATCTTTCCCCATTTATTTTAAAAATCCAGGAGGCAAAACCAAACAGTACCGCTTGCTCTCTATTCAATACCCAAAATTGTACCATTTTGGCTACCACTTATACTTGGTATAAGTGTTTTATAAATTATTGCTATCTTAAAAATAAGGAGATTTGCCAATGTATCGAGGTTGCAGAATGCTAGAATCACCATACCGAGTGGGTCAGTTTTGGAAATTCAGTGTTAAATCATCTGAATTTAGAGGAGCCATTTCTCTATCTGTTATCTGGAGAACTGAACAAAGGACAGCAATAAAGCGTTAAAGGTTCGGAGATAGCCATAACATTTACCTTTTTTAAGACCTGACCTCTGTTACCAGATAGTTGAATGGTGGTTGCAGTAAAGTTTTCTTCCTGTTTTCGGGCAATCTCATTGCTCATTTATTTTCGCTTCTGGGAGATGCCCTTCAGTAGAACTACTGTACCCACAAGCCCTAAAACCACTAATGAATTGGTATGATCATCATTCAACAAGCATATTTGAATTTGAATATTTGCAGATAATATGCATTTTGGAGATCGTAGGCCTTTGTAGGATTACATGTTAGGTTGTGATCTTAGCCCAACTTACTTTGAAATTCATCTTTTTATTCTCCCCCTTAAGGAGGAAGTCTTACTTGTCTTAAGGAAATTGATTCAGCAGATGCCAGTACTGCCGCCGGTTGCTGGAACTTACTTGTTCAATAACTTGGTACGTTCGTATAATTAATCGATTCTGCTTTGAGGAATTCATTTCTGATTCATATTCTAATGGCATTTGGCTGGTATTTCTAAAGCCTGATTTACACGAGACTAATTTTTTCGTGCGAAGCGAATTTTTCGCTGCGAATGCGCCAAAAATTCTCGCAGAAATGCAGATTAGAAAATTCGCTGTGAATTCGCCGCGAATAATTCGCTTCGAAAAAAGTAGAAACCATTCCTACTGCGAAATTTGTCGAGTAGTAAAATAAACCAATCAGAACAGCATTTGAAGACACTTCTGTTTTGGTTTCTGGTGGCCTACGTCTTTCCGCATTCTTTTTCTCAAACACCCTCACCTATAGGCTCTATACAACGTCAATGAAATATGTTGGCAATTATTCATTTCCTGTTCCTCGCGCATAATCCATGTTAGTGGATTCATATCAGATTATTATTCAAAGATTTGAATTTCAAATTGACGAAAACTGGTTTAAAAGTTTTTGTCATTTGTAAATTATCATTCATGCCAATATGTCAGAAATAAAAAATTTGGCGAGAATTTTTTCAAAACGCTGAATTATTGGCTGCTCATTTTGAGCTTTCTGATGTTAAAACTCTTCGGACATTCGCTATATTCTTTTGTAATATTTGCAGGGAATTCGCATAAAAATTTCTGTCAGTGTAAATTAAACTTCGAATTCGAGAGAAAAAATTCGCAGCAAAAAATTCGTGGCGGAAAATTCGCTCTGCGCAAAAAATTCGTCTCATGTAAATCAGGCTTAAGTTGCTAGAATCTGGCAAATTTGTTTCTTTTTTATCATTTCAAAGTGCCTCTTGAATTTTCTGTGGTCACAAATTGATTTTTAACATGTTGTTAGGTTGGGTTGATAATGTACTACAACCGAACGAACAAACCAGGCTGCCAAAAGAGGATTTCTTCAGTTTTGCATGTGTTATGGCAGGTATGCATTTATCATGCTTTCCAAGCTGGATCCTTATTCAAGCCATTGAAGTGAAGATAGTTATTCAATAGCATTCAAGGCGTAAGAGCCAATATTTATTTGCCCAGTTGTGAAACTTGATTTTAAGGAAAAGAAAACCACATTTTACAAAAGATAAAATCAGCTCAAGAACAAACATAGCCTAATATCTGATAGCAAAAGCTGGAATTTTTTTATATTTTCTTTTAACTTTTGCACTTAAATTAATTTTCGTTTTTCAGGTGGTGCCGAGTGTATCGAATTTGTTTTTAAAGGACATGAAGCAAGTACTTAGAAAGGAGAACTGCGAGGTTGGCTATTATCTTTCTAATGTTTTCATAACTGTCAGTTTGGGGGTTATTTTACTCAATCAGTTTTATAATTAAATGAAGTTCTTCAGTTTTTTGTTGACAATCTTTTCAATATCGAAACAAAGCTTTATTATTGTTATAATGTTTTTATCATTGAAAATTCTCCATGATTTCGAATTTTTATCAAGTTGGCAATTGTTTTCAATTTCAGCAAGTTTTCATGGTCACTGCAAATGTTCCAGGAATAAAGGCAAGTGTCATTACTTTGGCTGTGTTATATGCTTTTTAATTCTAGCAAATGCTTTGCTTTTCTAACATACTCTTCGCATTTTAATTGCTTTTCATTTAGAAGTATTTCTAATGCTTCCAGTTGTTGTTTAATTTCGTTTATCAATATTAACGTCATTTAATAACGCATTATTATTTAGAGCCATATTTTCTGATGACCACAGAAAGGTCCCATTATCGTCGTTTAAAATATGCTTCACTTTCATCTCTTTTGAAACTTCAACAACACTTTTTCTGTGAATTTTCGTTGTCATAGTGACTTGGGCTCTGCTTGCCATTAAAGTTTGTTCTCTTCATCATGCTTCCCTTTTAATCTCTATCTATAAAAAGTTTTCATTTAGAAGTTCTCTTTTTATTCTAGGAAATTCGTGTGATGTTTGAAAAGGGTAACGAAAAGTTTGAAGTGAACGAGGTATTGTAATCTAATCCCGGATGGAAAATTTGATATTAATAAATTTTTGTTCGAATTGCGCATGCTTATTCATGTTGGAAAGACATCTGATTTGCGTGCTCTTGTCTTGCTTCAGGATTCAACCTTCGCTTCGCTAGTCAACGACTGCAAAAAACGCTTTGATTTGTTCGATAAATCCCTTGTTTTGATTGACAAGTATTCAGGTAAGTGAGCACCCAATGTCTATCTGTTTTTGCTTATATACCAGTGAGCTAAATTGAATTTCATTTTTTTTCTTCACTTGCTGGCAAATTGATCAAGCCTTTTAAAGGTCTCTTTTGCATCACTGGTATTGGTAATTTTGATTTAATTGCTTTATATAAAATCTGTCAACAATTCTTTGCTTTGTGACTATTTTGTCGCTTGCTGAAGGACTCTTGTTGCTGTGTACAGGTCCCATAGAGGTTCGGAGGCTCTGGAGCAAACAAGATAATTTCTGCAACCGCGTCCTTTGAATTAGCCTATGATACATTTTAGAATATTTCTTGGTGCCTTTTTTGCAAGCATTCAAAATGTTACACTGTTTTTAGACATCTTTTGTTTCGTTCGATTACTTCCATTCTAAAATCGGAATTTATTACTATATAAGGTCCTCTAGACCTCGCGGCGCTGCGACAATTCAACCTCCTGCCCCTCACTCGGGGGCTCGGGTTGTACACTACTGTTTTCTCAGGTAATTTCTGTATAAATCAGCTTGAAAAACGGTCCAGACGCTACGTTTTTATTATTTTTTTTTCATTGAATGTTTTCCTGTAGGTTGGTTGATGGAAAGTTCGAGGCAAGTTCGAGATTCATTCGCATTTAAACGAGGCTTTGCTGCCCCAGTCGTTAAACTTGAGAGAATGGATAGAGAGAGATGCTACGAAGAAAGGCAAGCGCAGGTGATGCTTCATGTAATTTTTCTTACATTTAACAAACCATTTACAAATTTGCTGCATTTGTTTTGTAGCTTGTTAAAAAAATTTAATTTGTTATTCGGAGAGAAAACATAAACAAAAGCATTCCATCAATTAAAATAAAAAAGCTCCCTCAGAAGACGTTGCCACATCCCTCATCAAATCAGTTCTTGAGACTACATTCCCTTATCACATGAAGCAACGTTGGGCTGTCGGTGCATCGGCACAAGTTGCTTCATCTAACGAACCCATACAAAACCTAACCTTTGATATAGCTTAATAGACTCAAGAACAAGCAGCTTAAAGTTCTGGGCAGAGAATGGACAAGAAAAATTCTCTTTCCCCCACCATAGAGCCGATGCACCAGTTAGATATCTAAGATATAACAGGGAAAGAGAAAACATGACTGAATTCCTAAGCCTAGTCTTTCCTAAACGAAAAATAACAAGAACTTGGAAAAGAATTCTGTGATGTAAACTGGCCCTAGTCCAACACAAAAGAATAAACAAGGATTTGAAGAATAACACTACGCTTGTTATCAAAAGTGGAGGGAGGGACGGAAGAAGGGAACAACGTGGAAACAGCATACGAAATAAGCCCCATTATCTTGACCCAAAGCAATTATATACACCCATACGAGTCAAGAGTCCAGCACTATCGTGCAGAAGCCCAAACTACAGAACTCCTTCTTCTCTATTACTTCCAATGGCATCAAAGAAGCACATAAGGACTTAAATACCAAATTGAAGCATGACAATTGACACCCAAATGAGAACAATACAAATAAGCTAAAATAAGAACCCCTACTGAAATCAAGTTCTACAACATCCCTCATGAAATTAACTCTAATAAAATTTTATTTGATCAGCATTGAACGGATGAAGGGGATATTTTTACGAGACACCTTAATTGTCGTCAATGTTCTATTCCTTAAGAGCTTTCAAATATGTTTCCAAATTTTTAGTAATGATTTCGGAATTTAATTGTATTTCGCATTTTATATCTTTAAAGGCGATTATCATGAAAATGTCCGAAATCAGTCGACTCAATCTGTCTGGTGCAATATTAAATGCCTTCCCATATCAGGTGCGTTATTCTTATAATTCATGTTTTCAATCATGAAATTATCAACAAAAAATACATATTTATCGCTGCAAATTGGTTTTATCCGGCTATCTTTTAAGCATCCAACTGGTATCACCTCAGTTTTCAAACTCTGTTCTCTTTCCCCTCAGAAACACGATGCTTTCCTTTTTCTGGCGTTGCTGAAGCAGAACGCGTTCCCGCGAAAAGCGATCGAGTTTGAGTTTGAACTTTGTCAAGAGAATGGCCTAGCAAAGGTGAACTTCACAATATCTATTCAAAACAACTTTATATAACTATCGGATCCTTTAAAACTTCAGATAAGAAAGTTCAATATTTCACTAATATTTCAGTCAGTTCTTGCATTGCAATATTCATAAATAGTTTTGATGCATTGAAACTTTCAATAAAATCAAAGTTTCTTGTCTATTCTATGAAAACGTTAATTTTGTTGCTTTTTTTACAGGAATTGCTAACCTTTGATGTGGTATTGAAAGATACTTGGATGAAGGTAATTCGCTTTTTCGTTTTGAAGCCAGTTGAAGCCTCTTTGGTAATACATGGGAAATAACCGAGACAACGAAAGTATCTATGAAGTTGACAAATACCTCTGAAGTGATCTCAATAAACCACCATTATCACACAGATCTTGCACAATATACCTACATTGATATTTAGCGTTAAAATGCATATGAATTTTAAATTCTCTTCTTTTCTTTTAGTTTATCTGCACACTCCTTATGCACTTGGATGAGACGGCCACAGCTGCTGATGAAATTGAGATTTTTTTGAGTGTTTTAAACGGTGCTTTGTTGTTACTCTGTGACAATGTTGCCATTTTAAGATCCTGCTTGGGGTGCTTCATCAACATCAGCAGGCATTTTGGACAAATCTTTGCCGTCAGTGGGTACGTCTCAGTTTATTAACGGCTTTATTCCAATGATTTCGACAATTTAGATAAACGGATTGCTATCACAATGCATTTCGAAATCTGATAAGTTTTTGTAGTTTTGCTGTATCTATGATAGGCAATTTCTAGCAATATATTTTATGTTTATATTTTTGTTGTAGATATGAGCAGATTTTGCCGACTTTGTTAAAAGTTTACGCACAACACCAAGACAACACACTTGTGACTGAGGCTATAGAGGTAACATTGTGCATTTTCAACAATTTCATTTATAACCTTGCTTAATCTACAATTATAATCTCAAAACTCAAGTTCGCCCTTTTCCTTTGTTGATGACATGATGCAATAATATAAACCCCATGTAATGTATGCATAAAATTGGGTGGTTCATAGTTGAACTCCGGCTTTGATGCTTAATGTGATCATCTGGGGATAGCTGACTAGTGGTCCTACTAAGCGTGAAACTCGGATGTACAACGAAGAACCCTCTTATTCCATACACTAAATAGTGTACAGCTTTACGCCTTTACGCCATCGAGCACCATATGACAAACGAGTAAAATAATAGTTTTCACCAGCAATTATACATATATCTGTTTTTATTTCCAGTTTGCAATGGGCACATTTCTTACCCTCCACCAAAGTCCTTTTTTGCTACAGGTGAGTGGAATATCTGTCCAGTGACACTTTCACTTTGTTTTGCACGCATATTTTTCTAATACTAATTTCCTTAACCGAAATAGATTAATCGTTCTTTACGTATGTCATCCGCTGCATAACATCCCTCATCATGCCACTCCATTATTCAAATTGTCGCGTATTACCCTATTCAGTGGACATAATCATGCAATATTTTGCAGCTCTTTGCAAGTGCAGCTCCCATATTGCAGTCAGAAGTTACTCAAGAATTACTCACTTTCTGCCCATTAGAACAGGTGAGATTGCTGTTTATATTCTACTGTCAGCCATTGACTTTCTCTCTTACCAAGTGTTGCCTCATCGTATTTCAAGCCCTTCAATTTCGGTAAGTGGTAAAAACGTGCAAAATAGGCCTAAATTTAGCTGCGAGGCACGTTTGTTGTCATATGCTTGAATTTTGATTGACTAATGGGGTATTGAGAATTTCGGTCGCTCAGCCAACCAAAGGTTTGGAACGTATGCTCCCACAAGTGCAAACACATATCCTATTACTTCGAGCCAACGCCTGTCTTCCTGCTTTTTAACACCCCTGAAAATGCTTGAATGCAAAAAAAGACCTTCTCGTTTAAATACCCCCTTGCGAAGACGTCCTTAGTAGGAAAGGAGTAGCTACTGGGAACTCTAAAGAAAATAAGAACACAGTTAGAGAGTGTAATTAATAAACTTTTTAATTATTAAAATGTTTTTTAGAATAAAAAGTAACTTTAAGGAACAGTTTTTTTAAGTTTCTTTTCCTCTACCTCAACACAATGCTTATAGACAATATGATAATTTTTCGGTTGTAACGGCCGACCCAAATTCATTTGCCGTTTACCTGTTACGATAGCAGTCAAGATATTTTCCTTATCAAGAAAACTGAAGCACCGAATTGATATTCTTATTGTCACATGACAAGCAAGAAGCATTTGTATGTTTGCTGATTTCCTTGTTTCCCTTAATTGTATTTACCGAAATTTTTTCTTAACCGATGAGTATGATCAATGACGTCCTTTTTAAACGCCCTAACATTTAAACGCCCTTACCTTAAAACGCCTCTGCAAATGCATAAATAAATTCAATAACGTGCTGGGCATTTTTCGGTGTTGCGTAAATACGGTATTGACAGCCCAGCTTTTAAGCCACTTCAATCTTTTATTGATCAATTGTTACCCAATATTTCCCTGCTGTTCCTCACCCATGAATACCACTTTCTTATTTGAAAAGTGATTGGACTTTTTCTTCTGCTTTAGATTCCATCACGTGTGTTCTTCAAGCTACTCCTGTCTCTCGATCGAAGGATTGAGGATACCATCGGAGTTCTTGGTCTTGTTCGAGGCGAAAAACCAATTCGTCCCTTCGTAAGTGTCAACTATGAGTTATGAGTGGAAATGGTTTCTGATCTAGAGCTCTTTAATGACATTGTACTAATAATTCTTTTCATTTTATAATATTTTGCATATTGCATCACTTTAGCTAGTTCACTAGCCCTTAATCCAAGACTTACTTCAAACCCATATCCATGACCTAATCCAAACCCAAATCCAAGACTTAATCCAAACACTAATCCAAAGGCCAATCCAAACCCAAATCCAAAGGCCAATCCAAACCCAAATCCAAAGGCTAATCCAAACCAAGAATAGGTCAGAGCTAAAATGTAATGCACTTGCTTTCTCTCTTAGGACTCCGTGTGCAAAATCGAAAACATTGAATTCAGTGTCATTGACATTGCTGTGCGACTCGCTGTCACTGTTATTGCATCAAGACCAGCATCTTCCAGAGGAATTCAGATGCTTGTAAGTACAATATTCCCCATTTTCTCTATTACACCTATCACATAAGATCTATTTACTTCGAAGTGCTGTTTTGAATCGCAATTCATGATGTCATTCTATGATAGAAGTTATTCTGTGACAGGCGATTTTGGGCCATACTGCTGTAGCACGTTGCTTGGGTAGACACAACCACTAGGATAATAGAGCGTCGTACGCAAGTGGAAAATATGATCGTTTGACAAAGGAACGTTGATTCTTCTGCTGTTTATTTAATAGAATATTTTCTTTGGAAATTCCCGAACTGTAAATAATGAATTTAAATACTCTGTTATGAGGCACTGGTCACCTGAAAGTTACTGCTTTTAATTTTGAACCACGCTCCTTCGCATTTGCTCATAGACATCACTGCTGTGTAAAAATAATCCATGTTTTTTTATGTGCGTACAGATTTTGAATAGAGAGACTTGGTTTCTGCCTTTACAGGTCGTCATTTCGGCAGTCATGCCACATTATCTGTGTCATATAAAAATGCAGACCAGATCAGCGACTCTTGTTGACGAAGAAAATGAAGGGCAAGAAATGATGTTCAAGGAGATTCGGCAGCTCAGGTTTCTCCTCAACTACTTAAAAGTCGTCATTGAAAACTCTAAGCATTTAGGCAGGTGGGTTGTTCTTCCAGTTTTTATTAAATTTAATGAAAGTTTTGTTGTCCTAACAAACCGCGATGTTACGAATGATCAGTGAAATAATTTCTCAAAAAGATTTACCATGGAACACGATTAAAAATTGTTTTTCATTTTGAGAACACTTAGGTCACAAAAATGCTTATTTTGCGCTGCAAATATTTCATTTCCTTTTAAAACATGTAGACAGCTATTGTTTCACTTTTACATTTTTAATATCAACCGCATTTTTTTACTACGAACACTAAACCACTACGAACACTATCGTTTTTTTCACGCTATAAATCTTTCATTTCCTTCTGAAACATGTGGACTGCATCGCCCTTGTTTCGTTTTTGCATTTTCATTAACCCCATTTTTTAAGACGAGTAATGTCCTACGTGCAATGCTAATGTTAAACTGGTCTTTCATCAAGTATAAGTTCAAATGTTAGACTTATTTTGCGTTTAAGACAAGGAATTTTGTAGAAATATTCAAGTAAGGCTTTCATAACAAAAAGACGTTGGTTTGTCAAAGAGAACTTTCAAATTTTTTAATTTTTACATTGTTTGTACTTTTTGAGAGAAAATTCAGTAAAAAAGATAAGTTTTAGAGATTTTTATTGATTTATATTGAATCTATTCATGATATTGATTCTTATTATTAATTATCTTAAGTTGTCAACTTACATAACAAATGTAAAATTCTAGTGAAAGGTAACACATTTAATACAATGTTACCAAATAAAAACGTAAAACCAGAAGTCAATATAATTGCAAAGTTAATAAAATATCTATTACAACAATTTCAAATTATTACAGCTATATGACATTTAAAAAAAACGAAATGGATTATGTATTGTTGGCAAGTTCTGCAGTCACAATCTTCGTTTCTTCAAAGTTTTATTTTATACTTGAATTGTTGTACAGAATTTGCATTTTCCCCCTGGAAGCGAATGCCAAATATCCTTATCGAATGCCTGTAAGCCTTTGCGTCAAAAAGCATCGCCCTTCACAGGGCTTGTAAAATTCTTGAAGACGTTTTTGACGAATGATTTTCTAACGTCTGTTGCAAATGGCCGTTATGATGCCTCTTCCCCCGTCTCCTGCTGAGCTAGACTGGCCTACTGTCTCAGATTTGATTCAATCTGATGCGAGGTGCGAGGCTGTTGAACGGTTTTAGTGATAAGTGGATAAAAAGGTCTTACGTAGAGAATCCAAAAGTCTGTAATAGCTTCCATAGATACATATATGTACCTGTAAATAGTTATTTACGCATTGATTTACGCATATATTAAAATAAAATGCATACATTAGAATAATTAGTGGATGGAGCTAGAGAGAGAACTATTCTTGAGAGTAACACGCTTAGTTGAATGTTCTGCAATACGATACACGTGCTTTTACGTGTACTACTAACGATACAGAACATAAAAAAGGTATTCCACATTCCCCTTGAAAACCAGTGATTTCATCAATGGGGTGACCATGGATAAGCAATTGAAAATTGAAATGAAAATTTCGAGAATACTTTTATAAGCGATTGAAACTTGGCTAAAATTACCAATTTATAATCTTTGTCTAATGTGGGGCTTTTTCTACTTTGACTATTTCTTTTATTTCAGCTGTTTTGTTTTCCTGCTCTGACTGATAAACAACTGTGTTTTTAAAAGTTGACTTTGCTGGTCCTCTTTCTTTCCAGCAAAGGTAAAAAAGGTTTTGCTGGAATTCCTTTGATTTCTTTATTTTCCATAGGTTTATGTATTACTTTTGATATGTCTATAAAATTCTTTTTCTAGACCGTTCTCAAAGAATTTTGACAGCATGTGTGACAACCCTGATGGAATCTTTGACGACGATTCACCACTAGCCAAGCCAAACGTCTTGTCCCTGTCTTGGTGGAGTTCAATGCTTAGTAATGTCAGGACATGGTTCGGGCTCGGCACTGATCACGCTTCACTTTCTGATGACATGGATCGGATTTCTGTTACTGGTGAATTTTTATTGAATCTTGAGTGACTTATTGCTATAATTGAAAAATGACTTTTTCTATGGATACTAGGTGTCCTAAATTTTTTGTTATTTCAATTTTCAATCTATCAAGTTTATCTTATTTTTATTATTGCTAAAGCATTGATCGTATTACGCAGACTTAGCTCTGCCAACTTATCCTTGTACAACTGCCGTGTTGTGCTTATAGCATCGTCCAAATATAATTAGCCCTTTATTTATGGTCCCATTAACGCCCTCTTTACCTTCAGGTAAATGGATCATAGTTATTACCCCCTGCCTACATTGAGTTCATTTAGTTGTATTAGCTTTATTCACTGGGTTCACTCCATCATACTTGATTTTTATTTTAGACGAGCTACCAGTTTCATCCGAAGAGCAAATGGCTCTGAAGACATTTTGCCTTCCGCGCATGTCCTTGTTGTACTTGGTCTCTGAATTCGTAACAAACGGTGCAACAAGGGTCAGGGAAATAAAAGAAGTAATACGAAGGCGGGTTGCTTTCCAGGATATTGTGGTCGACAAATTGCAAGTATTGGTAAGTATAACAAGTTCTAACCATGCATTATGCTTATAATTTATAATACATATAATATTCCCTTTTCTTAGCACTTGGAATGATTGCAAGCATCGATGCAATATTACAAGTGAACATCAGCAATTGTTCCAATTGTCCCTCATAGTTTTTATTCCTGGTTTGCGTTAGCGTTTTTAAATATTTTATGACAGGCGTAGGCAGCATTCAAAGAAGATTAACAAGTTACCCGATCTGTTTTGTCTTTTGCCCTCGTCTTTTTCACATTTCTGCATTTCCAATTCATTGCTGAATTTCATAAATAATAATTTGGTTTCTGCTATTCCGTCCTTTTTGTTATCACGAGGTACAAGTCAAGTGTGTTTTCTATTTTCGATGACGGATGTTTGATGCATTTAAACTTCATTTTTCCCCAATGGCGACGTGATAGCATCTGCATGCATCGCATATACACTATGTTGATGATGTTTTATGTAAACTGAATCATGTAAATCACAAATCTTCAATGAGCTTGAAAATGGAACGTAATGCCTTCACATGTTTGTGACACAAATCTTGAATTTTCCATTGCCTGAACCATGTGACGCCTTTTTGAACAGCAACCGGAGTGGGGAATGATATTTCTCTTCTACCTACAGATTCTTACAGACATCGTTTCATCCTTGCTGTCACTAGCGCCTCGCAACCAGGACATTTTGTCAAACATTGGCTTTGAGAGGTTGGAATTTGATTATGCATTTAATCGTCATTTCTTCCACCTTCCTTCAGCAACTTCAACATTTTTGAAATTTTTCATAACATGTGAATAAATTATCGAACACATTCTTCGTTCTGTCTCATAATTTCTGTTCACTTTTTTGTCATCACCCACAATTTTATGCTCTTGGCATTTGACAGACGAAAATTCTTTTGGTTGATGCAAAGTGATTCTGCTTTTCAAACAATATAAAAATTTTGTATTACAAACGGCGTTATATGTGTAATAAATGAAACTGACAATATTACCTGCAGTCGTAAGCTTTTTTTAACAATACCCCTCCCCTCACCCACATTACAATGCTGTTCAATTTCGCTGTTTTAATGCTTAAGATTATATTTTCCACGGAAAGCTGTACGATGATTTAGAGAAAATAAATCAACATTGTACGGGGGGAGGGGTCAAAATTTTTGGAGCAAAAGTGATATATTGGTAAGGTAGTTTTAGACTTTGTCTGTTTGCATGCCGTCAGAGGAAGCAGTTCCAACTATTTTTTTGTCACGGGATGTACATCTGTAGCACTGTCAGAATAGTTATTAACCTTTTCAAAAATCACTAGGGGGAAACTTTTATGGGATTTATGGCAGTTTATGTGTAACCAGTTGTAAAATGCAAATTCTGTTTGAATAGGTTCATGCTTCAAGCGATCCCTGCAATTAAATGGACGGATGACAAGATACCATTCCTCCTTCAGATAGTCGACAATATGAACGAGATCCTACGCAAGAGTCTGATTCACACAGAACAGCTAGTAAGTTCTTTTTATCATATATTAGTTCAATTCAGTCGGACTTAATGAACATAACCGGATTGACCTAAAGTTATACAGTTTATCGAATGGATCACATAAGGCTAGCTCAAGTTTCCACGTATATCAAATCACTGAAAAAAACTACTTTTTTAAGAGTCAGACTTGTCTTGGGCCTTTTTGTAAGATACATTTGGAAATTGCAGCGTCACAAATTCTTACAAATGGCTCTTACCTCTATTTTGATGACAATTGAATTCGGTGATGCCGCGTAACAGGAGGATATCGTGGCAAAAGATGCTTAGGGTCAATGGTGTTTGAAATAAAAATCTTTTGACTAGCCAAGCTAAACAGGTTCGTATGAAAGCGGGCTTGAGAAAGTGTAGTTGAATTTCAGCTTAATGTTTAGAGACAAATGCCTTGAAATCTTGTTTTTTGAGATCTTTAGTAAATTGTTAAAATGACTGTCTAAAATCGAGTCAAAATTATTAATCAATTTTGTATTCTGCTTCACAACAATGGTATCTTCATTTACCATCTGCATAGTAACTGTAAAAATTGAAATTCCCATTATATAGCAAATTTTTTTTAATTTTTTGGTCCCTTTGCAACCGCGAACTCCCAGTACCACAATCTATTTCCATCCAAAGTTGCCTTTGAATATTAGATTCTTGTGACAATTCTGATAATGTTGATAAATTTTTCAAAAGACCTTTATCATCAGAAAATACTGATGTTTAGCCCTTCACCATATCTTGTTTATGAAGAGTGACTCAAGTCCACTTTTCATTAGCAACAGCTATTACGAATTAGGAGTCTTTTTTCCAATTTTAGAACAAACTGTTTGCTCCTTTGAAGGGAGAACAACTTGCAACATCCTTTAAGTGTGGTACTGGAATTACATAATGACTTTATTCCCGTTTACCTCCCAAGAATAGTATAAGCAAGTAATCAATTTTGAAACCCATTTCTTCAAAGGTCAAGTAAATCTGAACTCATTGACTGCTGAAATTTTCGAAATCCGATCAAATTTCTATTCAAGTCTCATTTCTTTTAGAACAATAGATCTTATAGTTTTCAGAGTATTAGGAAGTCGTAAAACAGCTCAGACTATAGAGTGTTGATTTGTTTTATTTGCTCATAACAAACTGTTCATTGAATATTGAGTTTACGATTGGCACCACCACGAGTGGCACTGTTGAGCTACACTACACTTATTACCTTGAATGAAGAAAGGATAAGAGTTAATTTGAATAATTATTTTTGCTTTTTTTTGGCTGTTATGAAGATTTTTTCAATCAAATGCTTTTAGAACACGAAGCAGTTAATAGAATTCAACATGCATTAATTTGATAATGTAAAGAAAAAAAATAACAAAGACGGTTGGGAGGAGCTAAACAGAGTCTAAACATTAATATGCTGTAATAGGAAATTCAGTTGTCATTAATAACAGGGTGTTTTTTTAAAGAAATAAAATTGTTTATGCAGGATTCAGTTAACTGGAATGCACTCGAGTTCTGCCTCAGAGGTATGCCTCACACTTTACTTAACCAAAGAGTTTAACCTTATTACTTTGCGTTATAACATTTCTGCCAAAAGCAAATAGTTATAATCAAAGTAAAAAGGCGATAATATATTTTTGGTTGCTTTTATTAGTATTTGCTCTTCATTTCTATCCAGTTTCAGAATAATACAAGCAAATAATACTGGGCGTTTTTTCTGATCATTTTTTCAGTTTATTTTCATCTGGAATTTTCATTATTCTGTCAAGCATCACAGTTTCAAACATGGCTGACAAATATACGCTTTTCCTTATCCACTGGACATTTTATTGTATTTCTTGGAGTTGCTAATTGTTTCGTGTTTCTAACTGGATATGTGATAAACCTCTTTTCAAGAGATAAATATTTACATCTTAACTTATATTTTTTAATTATAAGTTGATCATAAAATCTGGCTAGCAATTGGTAATCCAGCAAAAGCATACCACAACTGGTCTATGGAAACTTTTTTTTGGTCAATGGTAACCTATTTTTTTGTCTATCTGATATTTTCTAATGATTATTTCTTGAAGGAATAAATATTACAATTTGGAGGCAAAGAGAGATATCTTCAGAACCACAAATCAAAGTAGGTGTTTGTTACGTGCTCTATACTTGCTTTTTTGAAAATGGCTTTGAAAAAGCAAACATTTTGAAGCATACTTATGTTCCTTCCAACATAAAGAACAAAATGATGACAACGACGACATGTTTTGGATAATTGGCAGAGCCCGGTCGTCCTTCCATCTAGCAGTTTTGGAGTCGATCTACATACAAACGAAAGAGCCGCTATTGTGTAGACAAAAGGAGTTCGTTTTCTCTCTTGGTCTCCTGTGGTCATTTTTCTTTAGGCACGCGGCACTGATTGATCAACTATACCGGTCTTGTGCTTGCGTTTTTCTGATTGGCCTATTTTGATCCACAACTGGGTATATTTTTCATTGTGTTCTTTCGGACCTTTATCCTGACGTTTTATGCTCTGAGGAGTGTCAGACGAAAAAGCTTTTAGTATGTTGTAAAATGTTTGCTTTTTTCAAAGCAATTTAAAGAAGAAAACTGCCCCTCAAAAAGAACAGCCTCCTCCATCTTGTAGGTCAATAAACACCGTTAGGCCTGAAATACACGATTAGTTTTTATCAGTTTTTTGACTGACAGTCTTCAGTTTCACAAAAATCGATGTCCACCATACACGATCAGTTTTCTTCAGTTTTAGAATGAGTTCACGCTTTGATTAGATCGGCTCTTTTTTACAATGGAGCTTGATCAAGAAACTGCAGTTCTTCTGGCTGCGGCTCTTATCGTCAAAAAGGTGAAAATATCGAAAAAAGAAAACAAGGTCTGTTTGGGTAAAGCCATGGTTGAGTAGGAGGACTAACCTCGGTGTTTACGACACTCTTGTACAAGAGTTAAGATCGGAGGATAAAGCAGAATATTGAAAATTTTTGAGAATGACGCCTGAAAGTTTTGACGAGTTGTTGGAGCATCAGTTGAAAACTGACGAAGTTGGGCGTGTTCAACTTTTTCAGTCAAAAACTGAAGGTCATTAATGCATCAGTTTTTATCAGTTTTTGCTTAATACACAATCAGTTTTTGACTGAAAACTGAAAACTGAAAACTGAAAACTGAAAACTGTCAGTTAAAAACTGATAAAAACTGATCGTGTATTTCAGGCTTTAAATTGATATTATCATCCTTAGGTATTGATCGACCTGTGTGCAAAAGTGATTATGTGTGATGGCATCACGCCCAGTCGTTGATTTAAATCTTTGATTACCATCCTTAGGAATTAATCGACCTGTGTGTACAAGTGATTCTTTGTGACAGCACCAGTGAAGGCATTCACTCCGTTTCTGTCTCTTTCACAACAATGGCAGCGAAACTGGCTGCACGTCTCATTCAAGCAAATCCAAGTATATTCAGCCTGCCGGTTGTTTGTGGTGATTATTACTTGGATGCGGATCTTGATCGCCTGGAGAAATTTCTTATCCATTGGTTTCTTCCTCTCAGCATCAGACTTGGCACAGGGCGATATGGTAAGGCCTGTCTGGTCTAATACTTTACCGGTATCTGTTTTGACTGCATCTGTTATACTAGAACGACCTGTAATCTCGAACAAATTCGCCATGAAAAACATACTTTACATGTTAATTGTCTCTGTTGAACTAATGCACAGAATAATTCTTATATGAGACATTAGATAGACGAAATGCAATCGGTGTAATCTTTGCAAAAATGAAAAAGCATTTAGAGTGTTTTTGTTGAACCGGAAATCGAATCGAAAGTTGTTGCGTTTAAGCTCGTCTGGCCAAAGAAAATGTTTTAAGCGACTGCAAATCAATTTGTGGCATAATTTTATTCTCCCCAACCCTAAATCAAGTAAGTTTTGTTGACACACGAAACACTTGATCGATCCATGTCAATAATAGTCTTGATTTCAATTGCTCAAGATATCATTTTTCTTTCTGCTCAAGTTCCAATGTTATTGTTTCTAAACTTTTTGCCTATTTTCTTAATGCTTTTTTGCAGATTACCCAAGCCTTTCGTCCCAAGACGTTGAATTTGCTTTGTCGGTTATTCTTTCATATCTGTCCCCATTTGCATCGGACTCAAACTTTGGTTCAAAGGTCAGTCTGGGATCCCAGAATTCCCTTGATTTCGCTTACGACACAAGCGTTGCAGCAATAAGAACTCGACAGAGAAGTCAGTCACTTCATCTCTCACCCAGGACATACAAAATACTTTTTCTTGGTAAGCATTTCTCTTCCAATTTTTCAACCTTAAAGGCATGTAAAGTTTCATGGAAAGTCGTGTTTAAAAAAGTAAATCTGGCTCCAGGCCTCAATTCTGCTTCAGTTACCAATTCTTTTCCGAGTGTCAATTCTTCTTTAGACGCCAATTCTTCTCCAGACTCCAATTCTACTCCGGACATCAACTCTTCTCCTGTCTTCAGTTCTTCTCCGGGCTTTAATTATTCTCCAGAATTTTGAATCATTGCTTAGATAAAACTACCCTAGAATGGTGCTCTTGACTCAGTTTGATTTCTCTTTTGTAGGTCTTAAAGTTATGCTTGTTGCGTTTGAAGACTGCTTCGGTCCTTTCTGGAAAACAACAGCAGAAACAGTAGAAAAACTTATGAAGGCCAATAAAGGTAGGGTTTCTAGGCTCTGTGAGATTACTTCTTTTTGTGTCATTTAAAACGTTTATGTGCCCACTTACTATTCGTTTATGTACTATTAAGCATCAATTTATTTGTCAACAAGAAGGATAAACTTTAAGTACTTTATTTTCCAAGCTTGGAAATTTAATAACGGCAGTAAAGCCCCTGTTAAGTCAATTGCAGTTATAAAGCAAACCAATCTCATGGTGTTTTGATGTTATTTTGGTGCAGCGAACATATTTTAGAGAGTTTTACAAAAAGCACCTACAGAGATGAGCTGCAAAAAGCACCTACAGAGATGAGCGGTTTAGCTTCTTGTGATAATCAAATCAAATAATCTGTCCTCATAAACGAGACTTTAGGCCTTCTATGGTTGGAAATTCGTAAGTAATTGCAAACTGGATTGCTGCGAATGCCTCAAAATCTTCCTTTTTAAATTGGATTGATTATGAAAAATCAGGAGTCTTTTGTCATGAAAATTTTATTACGTTTCTTAAATTCTGAACCGCGAAAGATTATTGCTTTATAAGATTGTAACTCACGACAATTTTAGGAATTATCTGCTCATGTGGCCGAGTTTAATCGGTCTACCACCCAGTTGTCTATGACCGAAAATACACCAGGTATAATAACAATGGCAGTTATAAAACGGTACTGAGATAAAGAAAAGTATGGCGAAGAGTGCTTATTTGAAAATGGCTGAGAATAAGGAACATGTATGCGAATTAAGAAACAGTTTGCCATATGGATTAGCTTGGCCTCCGAAGCTTCAGAACACTATAGCAAATTCTAGACCATTAAATCGCGTCTATAACATGCTACCCACGTTTTTAAAGCCTCAAATTGAAAAGTCGTGTTTCCTCAATTACACACTCCCATTACCCGGATTTGCTTTCCCCCTCATTACGATCCTTTTCCCAAAAGAATGCTTCTATTCCGTATTTTTCTGTATTTTAAATGAAAACGCTTTGAAAGTGATAAATTTACACGTCGTTTCAATAGAACTTTAAAACTTATCTTGCGTTTTCAAAGTGTTTGGTTTTTATTATCCTGTTTTCAAAGTGTGTTTTCAAATGTATCCATTTTAATGACGGAGTGATGTGATCACAAGGCCACATCAGTTATTTTTTATCTTTCTTCCTATGACAACAGATTTTTTAACGTAGAAGATAAGGGCCAAATCGTAGAGAATTGTGTGCAGGGATAATTGGTTTGTTTATAGACCAATGTGAAGCAAGGGTTGATCAAAGATGTTTTACTCACAAATCAAGTATAGTGCTGACTCAACTCATTCTTTACCCTATTTTAACTTTTTTCTTTTCACTTAAAAGGTAAGATGTACGAACGGTCGCTTTTTTCTGTTCCTTAGTGTCTTTTTTAAAACGATGGAATTATCTCAAAATGAATATCATACATTAAGGCTAGAGTTACCTTATACCGGCTAGTTATCAGAGCGGAGTAACTTTAACTCCGAAGTGATATTTGGGGTAGCAGTCACACTGTGACGCTCCGCTCGCTCATACGCCTGTTTTCCTCTGCATTTCTGGTAAACAATGCAGTGTGCTTTTGTAAACTCATACATATGATGCACCAGATTAAATTTTTTTTATGATCTTTTCGAATCTATGTGCTGCTGTGAATTCGTTTTCAATAACTAGTGCAAAAAATGACAAAAACAACCCTGAAAACTGATAGATAAATGATGGGGTTCGTTGGACAGATAGCATTATGACGTTGCTATCTTATGTGTGTAAGTATGTGTTTCGTCCAAGAGCCACTTCCATGAAATGTGGGACGAGATGAAATCTTAATACTAAAGTTTTTGCAATCGATTGATGTGAATTGTTGAAACGATGCTCCTAGCTATATATCTGAACAGGTTTGCTGGAAATTTTATTCTGGGAAAATTTTATGATTATAAGAAAAAACTTTTCCTTTTGTGTGCAGAAAATGTTTGCATCGTTGACTGAATTTACGGACATTTAAATATATGTGAATGATGTTTGTGTGCATTTGCATTCAGGACGCATGCGCACATGCCTTGCAGATTTGCGCGTGAAAAGAGACAATGGCGATTAAATGAAATGCTATTAGCTTTCAAAACGCAATTCTTAACATGCAGACATAAACGGATTGCTTAATAACCTGTATTAGGTTAACCTCATTCTAAATGTTATGATAATTCGTGAACAGGCTTCAGTCTCCAAGCGGCTGCACCTTGAATCAGCTTATTTGCTGAAAGAGACCCCAGGTTTTTTTAATTGAAGTTGATGCAATTAGAAAGCTGCCTGTTATTGATATCGAAATTTCAAATTATCGGTGTGTTGAGATCGTCGTATCTGGAAGCAACGAATCGCTTTCGCCCGATCATTTACCGCTCGGCGAGTCTAAGCCGTTACTTGGCGCTCGTGAACGATTTTGGTTTCATTCTTCGGTTTAATTTCCAGACAGATTTCAATTTTGGGCCAATTCCTTCAACAGTTCGATAAGCTCATTGCTTTTCCCGAACTTATCACCTTAATGGTTTGGGGTTTTGTCCGCAAACCTCAAATTTTTTGCCAGTGGTATTTTTCCGTCTAAAGCTGGTTTATCTACCAATTAAGAACGATTTAGAACCAATTTAGAGCCAGTTTAACTTGCCCACATTTAGAATTTTTCTAGTGAAATTTGTTTTATACACATTCAATGCATCAAGCTTAAGCTTTTAACGACATCGATGTTTTGATTAGTACGTCATAATTAAAATGAATTGGAAACAGTTCGTGCTTCCGAGAGGTGGGAGCCATTTTATCTAGTTCACAGTTCAGACAGGATGCATACATCTTAGACAACAATTATTTATGTGAAGCAATCGTGTTATTAAAATTTGCAAAACACGTTTTCATAAAAAAACCTTTTTTTCTTTTTACCTTTTCATCTAGCAATCAGTGCCAGAGTTTATTCTTCAATGTCAATAATTTGCTTACGAAAGGTAACGGTTTATTTTATAAGGAAGGTATTCCTGTACTCAGCCCTATCATTTAAAGCATTTGAGAGAAAAGAATCTTTGGGTGACTTTTCACTATTGACAGGGATTTCAAATTGAATTATGGGTAAGGCTCATCCTCCTTCTCTGTCCAAGGTCACAAATAGTTCAAGAACACATAAACTACTGTGTCCAAAATGGAAGGTATGGGTCTTTAAGAAAATGCAAGGTTGCCTTCGACTACGCATTTGGCAGCTCAAGCACTGTTTGCTTCAGTAATTTTATAGTTGGATAATTTTTTTTCTCTTTTAGATGACTTATCGATGTGGGACTTTTTACATTTCATTGTGGATAATCGCTCTACACTTCTTGTTCATCTGCTGCCAGTTATTGCTGACAAGGTATGTCTTGCCGTTTAGTATCTGCAGCAAAGTACCTCAACTTGAAGGGCCTTTCAAGCAACAATTTGCAATCCCCGTAGATAGTAAAATTCTCTTTCTTTATTTCTAAGCGTAACAAAGCCTTTTGAAAGTTAAGCAAGCTGTCTTTTCTCATTTTTATACCTGTATTCGCTGAGCATATAACACTTTTTTAAGATTTTGTGGTTACTGTGATTTTCGCATGTCAGCACCCACCTGTGATCATTTGCATAGGCGTACGGGGCGGGGGTGTGGGCTGGGGGGCTTCAGCCCTCCCTAGATTAGGGAAGCTGATTTTTTTGGGCAAAATTCGGGCAGTAGTCTTCTCCAAAAACAGAAAGTTTTTTGAAAAACTACATTTTGAACATGTTTGAAAATATCTGAGATGAAAAATCAAGTGGTCGTAATCTTGAGCGCTTTTCGAAGTAATCTAATATAGTAAAAGTCTTTTGGGTGAAAAAACACAAAAAAGCGGCAAGAACAGCAATGACGCAAATAGTGCTTGAGAGGATTGTCGAAGAAGTTAAAGAAAGCGGCTGTAATGCTGTCATAATGGATGAAACATCTGACTTTCGTAAGCACGAATAAATGTCAGTTTGTGTCATTTTTGCACTGAATGGTGTCCGAAATGAAGATTTTGCTAAATTTTACAAAACTCAGTCTTCAGCAATTGTACAAATTGGGCTTAAAAGCCTATGTAGAAACTTGTTGGCAAATGCTTAGACGATCTAAAATAAGCGGCAAAGCTGAGGGCTTGGCAAAGCAAATGGAGGACTGTTCTCCGGCGAGCATCAATGTCCACTACCTTGGCCATTAGTTTAATCTTGCAGAAATGAGTCAATGAGAAATGGACTTTGTGCTGTTCAAGCTAACCCTAAGTGTGAATGCTAACCCTTAAACAGAAATCATTAGGCTTGCTCCTTCTATAAGTAGATTATGAGTTTCTAACCTCCTAGAAATGGAACACAAACTGTTCAATAATCACAAAAATAGGCAGGTAAGCAAAAAAGTGCGCGAATTGCTGAAAATGATGCAAATCATGTTCACAAAAAGATATCGATAAAATAATCTATATATTTGGTCGCTGCCGTGGAAGAAATTCGCTTTTTTGTTGAAAATGTGTTAATTATTTTAATGACGTTGCATTTTCTTCATTTCTTGACTAATTTTAGAAGCTCACAAATGTTAAAGTTTACCCCGTATTTTGGTGTTATTATTTTTCGGGCAAAAAAGTTTCAGGCCCGCTCCCTGAACTCACCCCGTATGGCTATGATCATTTGGTTACAATCATGAACCTCTTATTATTAGCCTGTGGCTATTTAGCTGTAATCTTCGCAGACGACTATTCACCTGTGATCTATCTTCACCTCTGATCTCTTCACCTATGATCTTTCACGTATAATCTTTCACCTGTGGTATTTCACCTTTAATCTTTTCCCTATGACCTCTTACCTTAATTCTTTCACATTTGATCATTAACTCTTTGATCACTTGCTTGAATCGAGTAAACTATGATCATTCCCTTTGATAAGATATTTGTGATTTTTCACATACTAACCATTCCCCTGTGATCTTTTTTCACCTATGATCTTCCACCTATAATCTGTCAACTATGAACTTTCATCTTCAAAATTTCCAAAAGCATCATTCGACTGTAGTCTCGTTTCTATCTTCCTTTTCCCTTGACATTCACCTGTGGTCATCTCGATCATTTAGCTTCGATCATTTACCTATCAGCGTTCAACCATTAAGTAATTGTCAGTGGGTGTAAACGATGAAAGCTCTTGGAGCGCAGTGCTCTTGATGTTCAAAGGATGTTTTTCATGGGCAGCCATTGTATATGAAAGTTGCGGGATAGTTGTATGTTAGATTTGCCCCGAGGTAACCATTACATGCCAAAAACGTTTATTTTTTGCAGCCTAGAGCAGTTTTGGCAAGTTTACTTGGGCAAGACATGGATGGAATGCTCTTTTAAATGCTGATTTTTCAATCTTTTGATTTGTTGAAATAGCTTTGGTGCGTTTGTTTTGAGGAGTTCACATCGAATGATAACGTCTTTGATAAAAATTATACCGTAAATTTTCTTTTGAATCTTGACAGGCACCTGGTGTTCTTTTTTAGGTAAAGGATGAGCAGAGCCTGTCGAATGAAATTCGAAGCCGTATAACAAGGATCGAACGTGACCTGTGGAATCCACCGACATGCCCCTGCAAAGGAGATGTTTTGAAACACCTACTTGATGAACTTGCCGACGTCACTCATGCTAACGAATCAGAGGAAGGATTGCACATGCTGTCCTCGCCTCCAGCAAGAGGGCGCGGTCGGTCAAGGACTAAGTCTACTTATAAGAGGAGGTCAGAAACTCTGATACAGTATGACAAGAAATGGGAAGATTATGATAAGCCAGATGAATATTCTCAAGATCCGTTTCAAGATGATGTTGACAGTTTCAAATCAGAGAAAGTATTGTCAAGGAAGCGATCTAGCAAAAAAGTCACTATTGCTTCAAAACCAATTGTTTTAGACGAAGCACCAGTGCGAAAACCAAGTGTTGGCGATGAAGACATAAGTCGATCTAGCAGTAAGAAAATTTTGAAAAGAAGACCGGTTTTGCGCAGGCAGTCTGCTGAGGAGGAGATAGACGTGGATACGGAAGCAAGCGTTAGCGAAGAAACAAGTGTAGACACTGGAGACAAGCAAGACAGTCAGCGAGCAAAAGTGCATAATTTTAATCGACAGCGTTTTCAGCATGTTAGGAAGAGAGAAGATAGTAAATCGTACAGCGCAAGGAAGAAAGACAAGTGGAAACGGGATAATAGTTATCGTTATAGGCAGAAGATGCAACACCAAGTCTCTTTTAACGAAGAAGAGGAGAACGAAGGAGAGGAGAACGATAGAGAGGAGAACGAAGGAGGGGAGCTGGAAGAAGCCGGGAATGATGGGGGTGTAAAGCAGGTGGGGTTTGATGCAAATAATTCTGGTAAAGAAAACAGAGGCGTTTCCGGAATAGATACCGATTTTGGTGTCGAAAAACACGTTGAAGAAACTGAACAATGCTCGAATATAAAACTCGATATGACAAGTAATGATGACATCCACCCAAAAGCGGACGGTCACTTCATAAATGACGTAAAAATTGAAATGTTTCCAAATGTTTATTGTAATGCAATCATGGAGCTTAATTCACCATTATTTGCAGATGAAGCCTCGCAGTTTCCATTTTCGCAAGAGACAGAACGACAATCGACGCTGCAAAACAACAGCTCTTCATCGGATAGGGCTATCTGCCACCACAGTTTTGGCATGGAGGTTCACAGAGTCCAACATGTAGAAGCCCTAAATGCAATAAATCTTTTTCACAACGGTCACATACCTTTATCACCGTCTGCCTCTAGCGATGCTCCTCTGATTGACGACAGCTGTTCTAGCGATGGTTTTGAAGAGCTGGGCACGAATTTTTCCAGCGAGAGGGATGTTTCAAGTTCAGAAGATGAACTTAATTCTGAAGGCAAATCACAAAGTTGCTACTCGACTATTATGAACGGGAACACACATTTGTCCCATTTTCAAGGTGCAGATAGCGTTGTTAAGGCGAAAGATGTCTCCAACATCTAGGGGTATATGCGGGTCTTATGCTAATGGATTCGTCAAAATATAGATTTGGTCATCTGACTGTAAGCGACTGTATTATTTGGCGGTGATGCCATCTGGAGCCAACGAGCAGATTACAGAGAAAGAAACCAGATAGCGAAGAACCGAGTCATCAGAACAGGGTTTGTGACGCAAGTTTAGATTTCTGTAGCGACGGCTAAACAATATTAAGGATCTGCAATTCAGAAAAATCTGCTTAGGCCAGTTGTGAAGATTTATAATGATAATCTTTTGTAAGTTAAAGAACAATAGGATTTGTTAAATAAAATCGTAATGATGTTTAGCACAATTTAAGGGTTTGACGTTATGATAGCTCTTCTTTTTGCGGTTGAGATTCATTTTATATTCTCATTTTTTAAAGGAATTGAAACAAGGACGATAAAAGTATTTGTAAGACGGGGGCGGGTTTCCCACGCTGTTGAGGGAGGGGTTGTGTTGTATTGTATTTAATTAAATTATTTTCATATCAAGGAATTATGTAAAAGTTCATATCTCTTCTGCTAAAAATGTTATACTGTAATTTATTATCATAGTGGCTCAGTAACAGATAAAGCAGTTTTACTGGTTGCATCAGAATTGCTTCGCGTCTCCTTAAAGAGCGAATATTTTTGACCCAACAAGGACCCTTATGATATATCCAGTATTTTTTAGATTTGCAAAATTATGCGTAAATATTCCTCAGAGATTTGAAAAAAACCCACACTGTTACATTTTGAAAGCTAGTAATTCCTTATTGTCTAGTAACTCCTTGTTGTCTAGAAATTCATAATTGTCTGTTGGCCTGGAGTTCATGTTTCGGTTTCATATATACAATCATAAAAGTTTTATAGGAACACAGCAGGCTAGTGTCATTGTATCCATTCATTTAACGTAACGAAATTTGTCAAGGAAGTAAATTCGTGCCAACAGGAATTTTTTATAATAGCAGCGCGATCTCTCAGACCAAACATCGTTCTTTTGTCGCGTCCCTAGGGGTCTTTTACGGTTTATATGATGATTTTAGACTGTTTTGCCCCAGCTTACCCCTGCACCCAGCCGATCCCTGCACCCAGCCGATCCCTGCATCCAACCAATCCATACACCCAGGTGGTCCCTGCACCCAGCCGATCCCTGCATCCAACCAATCCATACACCCAGGTGGTCCCTGCACCCAGCCGATCCCTGCACCCAGCCAGTCCATCCACCCAGCCGATCCCTGCATCCAACCAATCCATAAACCCAGGTGGTCCCTGCACCCAGCCGATCCCTGCACCCAGCCGATCCCTGCATCCAAGCAATCCTTACACCCAGATGGTCCCTGCACCCAGCCGATCCCTGCACCCAGCCGATCCCTGCATCCAACCAATCCATACACCCAGGTGGTCCCTGCACCCAGCCGATCCCTGCACCCAGCCAGTCCCTCCACCCAGCCGATCCCTGCATCCAACCAATCCATACACCCAGGTGGTCCCTGCACCCAGCCGATCCCTGCACCAAGCCAGTCCATCCACTGAGGTGATCCCTGCACCCAGCCGGTCCATCCACTGAGGTGATCCCTGCACCCAGCCGGTCCATCCACCCAGGTGATCCCTGCACCCAGCCGATCCCTGCATCTAGCTTATCCCTGACCCAGCCGATCCATGCACCCAGGTGGTTTCTGCACCCAGCCGATCCCTGCACCAAGCCAGTCCATCCACTCAGTTGATCCCTGCACCCAGCTGGTCCATCCACCCAGGTGATCCCTGCACCCAGCCGATCCCTGCATCCAGCTTATCCCTGACCCAGCCGATCCATGCACCCAGGTGGTTTCTGCACCCAGCCGATCCATGCACCCAGCCAGTCCATACATCCAGCCAATCCATGCGCTTACTCGGTTGTCAGTGCTTCAAGCCCGGTTTTGAAGATTTAATCAACATATTGCACCATTTGTTTAAAGCATTCAATTTTTAGTACTGTTTGTAACAAGAATTAACTGTATATTTCATGAAATACATTTGTATATCAATGGTTAAGTTAGGAATTGTTATGTTAATTAATCTTTGAATATTGAAGGAAGATGTCCAAGTTTTGTATTTTGAATTGAGTAATTTTATTAACAGTCACTTAGTCGGTTGTCTTCGTTATTCATGTGGATCTTGGTAGCCAAATTTTAACTTTAATATCAGCTATTGGTCGTTGTGCTTAGGAAAGGCACGTAATGCCTAGGAAAGGCACTCAATGCCTAGGAAAGGCACGTACGGCCTAGGAAAGGCACGAAAAGCCTAGGAAAAGCACGCAATGCCACGGGATGGCACGCAATGTCTAGGAAAGGCACGCAATGTCTAGGAAAGGCACGAAATGCCTAGGAAAGGCACGCAATGCCACGGGATGGCACGCAATGTCTAGGAAAGGCACGCAATGTCTAGGAAAGGCACGTAAGGCCTAGGAAAGGCACGAAATGCCTAGGAAAGGCATGCAATGTTTAGAAAAAGCACGCAATGTTTAGGAAAGGCACGAAATGCCTAGGAAAGGCACGTAATGCCTAGCAAAGGCACTTAATGCCTAGGAAAGGCACTCTTTGCCTAGGAAAGGCACGCAATGCCTAGGAAAGGCACTCTTTGCCTAGGAAAGGCACGCAATGCCTAAGAAAGGCACGTTTACATACATAAGTGGCATGAGATTTTCTCATTTTGCTTCGCACGTGGTGTCGATGGCGACCAGAGCACTTGGATTTGCGTGTTTTGGTAAACTATGTTTCACCAGAAGTTCACGATTTAATTAATGAAATCGTTGCGATGTTAAAAACTCTTTACTTGAAAATACCCAACGAAATCCTCGCTCAACATTCACTAGCCACTCGAAAACAACAACCAGGGGAATCTTCAGCCGAATATTTACAAGCGCTAAAAACTCCAAGTAAAGACTGCAACTTTTGCCAAGCTAAAGCTGCTCAATACCGGGATGAAGCGGTACGAGATGCTTTTATCAGTGGAATAATTTCAAGAAATATTCGGCAACGCTTGCCGGAGAACAAACCGCTTGATCTTTCATCGGCCTTCCACCCCTTGATAGCAAGGGCTCTCGATACAGCGCAGAAAAGCTCCGAATCTTACAAGGTAATTTTTATGCCGACCACTGCTGTCACAGGAAAATCAAGTGAAGAAAGCACTCTCATGAACGATAATGCAGAAAGACTATCGGCAGCATCTTCACGAAAACAAAAATTCTGCGGTTTTGATTTACATCCACGCTCAAAATGTCCTGCTCGAGATGCCACGTGCAGTAATTGTCAAAAGAAAAGCCATTACAAAAGAGTCTGCCAATCAAAGCGCCTTGATGAGCAAGCCTCAGCAGCTCTGAATCGTCCGTCCTTAGCTACAGTTGCTGCAAAAACATTAAGTAAAGCTTGCGTGGATATTTCAATTAATGAAGAAATCATAAAAGCTCTAGTGGATTCTGGAAGTAGTGGAAGTTGGATTAAAGAAGCGCGAAACCAACGAAAATGTGTCCATGGCAACTTCATCACTTACAGCTAAAATGCAAGAGTACTGTATAACAGATATCAAGCTTACAAGCTAACAGATGTGAGATAACAGATATGAGATAACAGATATGTGCGGATATAATCCTAGGCCAAGACTGGCAAGAACAACATGAAAGCAAAACGATAAATTATGGAGGATCTGTATCACCACTAAAGCTATGCAACTTAACAACGCTGAATGTACATCGACCACCTTTGTTTCAGTAACTTACTACATATATTGAACCAATTGCTACTAAGTCAAGAAAATATAGTGAGGAAGATCAGAAATTCATCGCAGCTGAGACGAAAAGACTGCTAGAAGAAGGCATTATAGAACCCAGTGACTTCCCGTGGAGAGCCCAGGTCGTCGTCACTAAAAATGAAGGCCACAAGAAACGTATGGTTATTGACTATTCACAAACGATCAATAGATTCACCCAGTTGGACGCATATCCTCTTCCAAGAATAGATGAAACTGTAACTAAGATTACACAGTACAGAGTTTATAGCACAATTGATCTAAAAAGTGCATATCATCAGGTTCCAATCAAAGAAGATGAAAGACATTTTACCGCGTTTGAAGCAAACAAGAGCCTTTACCAGTTTCGCAGAGTCCCATTTGGAGCTAATAATGGAGTAGCTGCTTTTCAGAGAACAATGGACAATTACATTATGGAGGAATCTCTCGAGGATACATTTGCTTGTCACGATGACATAACTCTATGTGGATCAAGCTCATCATGACAAGAACCTTGAACGGTTTCCAACTGCAGCTAAGCGAAAGCATTTGACCTACAACAAGAAGCCTCAGCATCCTAGGATGTCTGGTGTCTGGAGGCGAAATAAAACCTGATCCAGAAAGGTTAAAACCACTCCAAAAGTTACCGCCGCCAAATGATATCAAGAGTCAAAAACGAGTTATCGGGCTCTTTTCCCATTACTCGAAATGGATAAGATTTTTCAAAATATAACTTTTGATAAAAAAATATTCGAGAGGCATTCGTGGCATTAAAAAAGACGTTGAACAGTCAGTCGTCTGTGCCATTGACGAATCACTACCCTTTGAGTTGGAAAGAGCTGCTTCAGAATTCGCACTTGCTGCTGCACTTAACCAGAATAGTCATCCTGTGGCACTCTTCTCGAGGACATTACATGGATCTGAATTAAAGCACCATGCGGTAGAGAAAGAAGCAGCTACAATTATTGAGGCTGTGTGGCATTGGAAGCATTGTCTTACAAGAAGGCATTTTAAGCTGATAACAGATCAGAAGTCAGTTGCATTTATGTTTTACACAAAACATAAAAAGAAAATAAGATCATGAGATGGAAACTAGAACTGGCCACGTACAGCTTTGATATAACATACAGATTAGGAGCTGAGAACATTCTAGCTGATACGTTATCGAGGGTTTCTGTGAGCCTTAGTACGGTGCATCAAGAAAAACTTCACGAACTGCATGCATCACTTTGCCATCCTGGCGTTACCAGCATGGCACACTTTGTTAAAGTTCGCAATCTACCGTATACAATGGAAGATTTCAGAGAAGTGACACACACGTGCAAGATATGTGCTGAATGCAAGCCACAATTCTTTCATCAAGAGCCCAAACACTTAATAAAAGCTACACAGCCCCTTGAACGATCAAATATCGATTAAAGGACCGCTACCAAGCTGTAATAAGAATAGGTACACTTTAACAGTTATTGATGAATTTTCGAGATATCCTTTCGCTTTTCTTTGCATAGATATAAGCAGCAATACTGTTATACAATGCCTTTGTTCGCTGCTTTCTATATTCGGAATGCCTGCATATATTCATTCCGATCGTGGAAGTGGCTTCATGAGCAAAGAGCTCAAGAACTTTCTTTGTCAAAAAGGTATTGCCACTAGCCGCACTACAAGCTACAATCCAGCAGGGAATGGGCAAGTTGAGCGTTACAATGGAATTATATGGAGAGCTATAACTTTGGCGCTAAAGACATGGTGGCTGGTGACATGATGGCAAGAAGTCATATATGATGCTCTACTCACAATAAGGTCTCTGCTATGTACTTCAACAAATGCCACACCAATGGGCGCATATTTTCCTTTAAACGAAAATCTACTAGCGGACAATCCATGCCCACCTGGCTGACTACGCCTGGTCCTGTACTTTATCAACGACATATCAGAGACTCCAAGTTTGATCCTCTCGTGTATGAAGTAGAGCTCATTGACGCAAATCCTCGATATGCTCACAAAAGGTTTCAAGATGGTAGAGAAGATACGGTATCGCTCAAGGATTTAGCACCACAAGGGAATACAAAGTCTGAATGCCAATATGAGCTAAAAACACAAGATGCAAAGCCAGAGACGCAAGATGCAAAGCCAGAGACGCAAGATGCAAAGCCTGAGTGCAAATTTGAGCTGCAAGATTTGCCTCAGTTGCCAACAGAAAATGAGGCTACTCAAAATCAACTTCAGCTACGACGATCAGGAAGAGTACGCCGGGTACCATCTCGATTAGGCTACTGAGACATTTTAGAGAAGTGAAGACTGTGATAACAAAGAACCTTTGTTGGTTACGAACTATATTGTTCACCTCTTTATATTTGTTTTAAAGGACATTTACACCTCTCGTTTGTGTTATATACATGTTATGTAGTTTACAGAATTAGAGTTGAGTAAAACCTTAAACATCCAAGGTAATAGTTTTTCTCATAGTTCTACTTTACGACAAGGATAGGCATGGAGCATTCGCTAATCGCAGGACCCAAGAATTCCATGACACTGCGAGCAAAAAGGAGAGTTCCTGTCCCCCCTTCAGCCCCCTCTGGTCAAGGGCATAAGGGGTATCGATGCACAGGGGAAGGGGCATCTATGGCAAGTATGATGTATGTCAACACAAACTGATACAGTTTACGTTAAACCATTATATGACACAAGACAAACACTTTCGACACTTCCAATAAAACAGCAAAAATGAATGAAAACGAGAAAATTTAACGACCAGAAATTAGCCCTGCTTCAGAATGACTTTCAAATATTTGTCGTAAATCTCTTTGGCTATTTGGCAATAACGATGTTATCTTCCGATGTGTTGCGTTGGTGCACTGCAAGGTTTCTAGGTCAAACTTTCGGCTTTCCAGATATTTCGATATTTTGTAACGTTTCAGGTGAGTAATTTGCCGTGTTGTCAAACATTGACTTTTAACGAAGATTACCTCAGCACCTGATGCGATTTCAACTTTGGTTTCCGACAGAATTAGGTACCATTTCACTTGGTAGACGTTGAGCGAATTATATACAAAAAGTAAAAAGGTTTTTCTTAGCAGAAATATCTACTATTGTTCTTTAGTGGAGAGTGAACTCTTGCACATGTTGACTTTCGTGCGTGTTGACTTTAATGCATTGCTGCTAATATTCACTTCACAGAATGAACCTGATATATTTGGCAATAATATTATTACACAACTGCCCGACGACCATTTATGTGATCTACTCCTTTCTTAAAGTTATGCTTACAACAGGCCAGCAACGAACTGATTCTGAAATGCACCGTTGAATTCGTCAAGCAAACTGAACTCCAATCAGTGGTGGCCTGGCAAAGGGGGCCGCCCC